GGGGGGGTGGGGGGTGGGATGTAGTAAGATGGTCTCCTTTCGATTTTTTTCACGATAATAAGTGAAATTCGGCTGATAAAGCGAAGATATTATGATTTCGTGTCACACATGTTTCATGGTTTTTTGTTTTAATTCTAACCATTTTGTTTCTAGAGGATCAGCATCTGGATGATTTCGTTCGTGATATTTTGAAAGAAATTTGCTGCGTAGAAGAAAAGTCAAAGGTGACAGTTTCTGCGTTGGAAGATGAGGTTCGACAACAGATCATTGCGTCTGGAATAGAATACCGATTGACGCAAGGTCATCTACAAGCGTTGGTCTTGTCTACCTTCTGTGATGTTGCCCTCGGAAAAAGAGGAGGGAGACGAGAGAGAACGTATCCTTTTTAAGATTGATTAATTTAGTAAATGGTATGGCAATTAGGAAAATTAAGGTTTCACAACGATTGGTGATTTCAGCGGCGGCTATATAACGGAGCGAGCAATACACATGAAATTACGGGTACTACAAAATCTAGAACAACTGAAATCATTTTAATAAGTCATATTGGTGTGTTTGTGGCATTGTTCGTGGCATTGTTCCATTGGCAAGTCTTTAAATAATGACGTAATTTTGCCTCAGCATCTTCAATTGTGACGCAGAAGCATGTTGATTTCTTTTGTTCATCTTATTTCATTTTATTAAAAAAATCTAAAACCATTGCGTTTTTCATGGGAAAAAAGTTTATATCAATTGTTTATTTTCTTTAACTAATTAAAAGTGCTGTGTATAAAAATCTTTCGTGGCGACAAAAGGACTTGGTATCAGATGGAAATGATTCTGGTAAGTACAGCAATTCTTACAAAGAAGACAATAAATGCTCGCCATTTTGGTAAGAAGCCTACGTTCAAAATATGATCAAATGGAATAACACGAGTAAAAAAGGATATTTAAGTTGTAATTTCATTCAAAATTGTTCAAAAAGTGAAAGCTTTGTAAAAAGCAAATGTACAGTTAATACCATCCGAAATACTCACTTGCGGTTTTTGTTTTTGTTTTTTTGTTTTTGTTTATTTTATGTTACTGTACTTGTTTTCATAATTTTAAGCAATAAACCGTTTCACTTACATCGCACAGCAATGACATTGATTGCTTCATATGCCTTTTCCCTTATCGTATTTTGTAAATCAATCTTACATAAATATTTTTACTTTCTTGACGTAGTTTTTATCTTTATACTTTATAACGTAGTCGAGGGACAGTAAGTGTTTGTCCCTTTCCGTAGGTGTGTAGTTCGTACGTCCTTCCAGACGTTAATCCGTACGTAATCGTGGGTAGACTTTGCATATAGTGCCATTACTTTAATGCTAAAGGTCAAGCACGTGTATATAGATGCATCTTGTGGATTAAAGCGACATCACGGTGATGTATATTATAATGTCTTGTTTCCAAATTTTGCATAATTTTATCAAAAAAGTCTCATGGGAAATGACGGCCAGGTTTTGCTCATAAATATATTCATAAAAAAAAATATAATTACTAACAGAAGATTAAATCACTATCTGCGTCCGACCATATATTTTATGTTAAACTTTTGCGTAATTTCTTATAACGCATGCGCATAACACACAATTTCATTGTAAACAAAAATGCCTTGTTGTAAGTGTCAGCGAGTTAAAATTCTTACCGCATCAGCTTAGCTACGAAATGCCAATATGCCTTCTGTTTCGGGCAATTGGAATAATTTCAGAATATGAAAATACATATAATAATAATAGTATATATACATATATATATAATAATAAAATATTTTATTTAAGTATCACACATATTTTACATAACACATCACTTACATAATAAAAATACACATATGCAAAATATGCCCAGCCATACTGACTTACGAGAGACTACTTATATTTATATATATTAAAACATAGAATCCATTAATGATTCTCAATAAAAAGAACCATATATTATACTGTACATAACATAAAAAATTGAATGTATGCTCAGGATCCGATGGTGGGAGAAGAGCGAGAGTGGTTGGGTCAATCCCTACCGACAAGTCGCCCCTCCCCAACCATCGGGACCTCGATGATTGGCAATTACTAGCACATCAAATACATATAAAATACATAAATTCGATTTATTAAAATCATTAAAACTGAATTGTAGTAAAAGGTGAAAGCATCGTAATGTTGCCTACAAGAAGCAATAATATGAACCATATATTACGAGGTATATAGTCATAAAAAATCTAAAATGCATATCAAGTTTTAAATACTACCACGTGTCCTTTTCATAAAAAGGAAAACTGACTTAGCTAAGACAGGTTGAAGCGATTCTTCGTTCATAAGAAATAAAAATTGTTCGTTATGATCCATAGAAATAAATGATTGATCTAAATTACTTGCTATTTCAAACAGAGGGACTCTAAGGTCGAATTAAAGGTTACATTCACATAAAAAGCGGATTTCATTCTCAATTTTATTATCGCAGAAATTGCACAGCCTGTCATTTAATCGAGTGACTGGACGTGTATATCTACCCGTCTCTATAAGTAGCGTTAAGCTGCCACTTCTTAACTTGGCTAATACACTACGGTAAGGTCTCGGCATTAAAGTGGTGACGTAATGTTCCGGTTGTAAATCTTTTTTGAATAAACGGTATGTTCGTAATTTATTGCCGTTAATGTTACCTTTATCACACCAAAGCCTGGAGAACCACGTCTCTTCATCCTTGTTGAAAATTTCCTGTTTGATTTTTGACATAACGGATTAAGTTGAATTTAGAGCGTCATTAATAATATTTGCGATGCCAAACTTACTTTCTGGAGGCCCATGAATAATCTTTGTACAGAATACGGTCATTATCCACCGATTTTAACTTTCAACACAACCTAAAAACCTCAATTCGTTGTTTGGATACACAAGACAACCAACCCATATCGCCTTTTTTTACCTAAATAAAAGAATTTCTTCCGACACCTATAAATAACTTCATCGCTGTATTTTGTACATTGTTTATAATACTGTGTTCGGATTGCCCCCAAATGGCACTACAGTAAAATAATACTGGCTCCACCAGAAATTAATATAATTTATTAAAAACGGGAAACGACATACCACCCTAAGAAATGAACTTAGCTGTCAAGGCCCAGAGTGCTCTACTCGCAGACTTAGTTAGCTCCTTTACAGCAAGTTTAAGATCTAGATATTCATCAAGCCAAAGCCCAAGATATTTGTAACAGTTAGTAGTTTCTATGAAAACATTTCCGCAGGTAAACTGGACACCAGTTTCTGGGGTGTTTTTTGGTCGAAAGTGGACTATTTTAGACTTCGAAGGGTTGATACTAAGCCTCCATTTACGGCACCAATCCGCAACAATATCCAATAATTTCTGAAGGTTCCCTTCATTGGGGGCCATTAATACAATGTCGTCAGCGTAGCACAACGAACGAACACAAATATCATCTATATGTATACCATGTTTAGAATTTTTTAGATCCTCAATTAGATCATTAATATATACAGAAAAAATAACTGGAGACATTAAACAGCCTTGCTTTAAACCGCGTTGAACACTGATGCCACTAGTAATGACGTCATTAATTCCGACTTAACAAGTGACGTCTTCATAAAGAGAAAGTATGGCATTGCATATACTTCCTTTAACTCCAATACGTTGCAACTTATACCATAAACATGTTCTATCTACCGTATCGAATGCTTTTTGTAAATCAATAAAGCAAGTATAAGTAGACTGTTCAACGTTCTTTCTTTTATTTATAATACTGTATAAGGTGTAGATATGGTCCTGACAACTGCGACCTTTGCGGAATCCATTTTGTTCATCAGCCAATTTACCATTCATTTCGAGCCACTTTGTTAAACGATTATTAAAAATACTACAATAAATTTTACATGGGATAGACTGTAGAGTTATTGCTCTGTAAGTTAACGTTACCTGAGGGTCAGTACTATTGGGCTTAATTATGGACTTAATCATCCCTTCTCGTCACTTACCCGGTACGACTCCGCTATCGAAACATTTACTTATTATTGATTATAGCATAGTTATACACGTATTATTTTTCAGAGATTCCGCCGGTATACAGTCAATGCCAGAGGCTTTATGATTTTTAGCTAATTCAACTGCATCTATTACCCCTTGAATATTTATTTTTGCATTTAACATGGCTACATCCGTACTCGTATCAGGAGATATATTACAAGTTTTCAAGTCATCGCATATCGGCATAAAATGTGCTTGATTATACGACTCAGATCCGTGATCAGTGGAGAATAACATTTCGTAATCCGTTTTTCCAACGTTCAATAACTGACGGGATATCTCGATGTACTATGCCTTGGTCATCCTTAACCTCAAAGGGAATCGTAGGTTTTCTGTCCTCAGCGATACCTAGTTTACCAATTTCTTTCCAGAAATCCCTACTATTAGTTTTATTAAATAGTTTATCATTCATTCAAAAAAATTAACCAGAGAGTGGGGACAACGAAATATTAATTATTTGCATTGGACTGGTTGATGAAAGGGAGTGCAATCCCGTGTTTGTTTGCCCTGGTTTCATCAAGGTAAAAAACAGTTCCGGGTCCCTTATAAAATACCGAAATACCAGCAAACATTTGTTCATTTGAACTTTGGAATACGTTGCAACTTATGATGATAAACATTTACTGCTAAAGTGATTTGATCAGTTTCAAAATAGACTCAGAGAGAATCTTTTCATTGGTTTCAAAATGTGATAAGAAATTACCCGAATATGTTCCACTCGCTCGGCCCCTTTGCCACCTTCTTGTATTTATAAATGAAACCGGTTGGGTTACTAAATCGTCACGTACATTCAATAAGTAAAATATTGTTTTGAACGATATGTATTTCGAAGCAAGGATGTATCTGTGAGTGCCAAAGTTTTCAGTTTCTATGTATAGCAGCTTATTTTGATAGGAATTATAGTCTTTGTCCGATATCCAAGAGGTGAATCTACCTGAAAATCTAACCTGAGTACATGTACTTAAATATATATATTTCTTTTTGCAAACTTATTATTTTTTTCACATATTCTGCTATTGATACATCAATAAGCTAATTCATGTAACAGTCTATATTTAAGAAGATCCCTTATGCAGCACAATTATTAATAATGTAAGTATTAAGAACCTATGAAAAGTGTGCGATGGTGGGCGCCGAGATCCCTCTGGGATCTCTTGTTTAATAAATAAACTACCACTGAATCAATCTCAATCTGTAAAATATCATACATATATAGTAAACGTCAAAAACTACCCTTAAGTGTATTGGCCAAAATTGATCACCTATTAACCTTTCTGGAAAAACAATGCATCAGATGTCCTTTTTCTTATTTGATTACCGAAACATATTTAGAGAAGTCTTATTTGATCTGCTGTTCATATTTATTTTCCAGTACATACTAATAAATATTTTTTTATAACATTGCTATAACGTTGAGATATTTTGCAGATGTCACTTGCTTCAGAGGTGTAAACAAAAAGTCGTGTTACAGAAAAAACATTCAATAGCAAATTTTTTATTTACGGAAATTGTTCAATAAACAAGAAGTAAAATTTAAAAAAGAAACTTAAATATTCACCCGGTCGTTTGCTGACCTGCGTAATGCCTTGTGTCCTTATAGGTGATGAAGAAGCACATGAAAGCCAAACGCACAGCCGTCTGCGTATTGAAGAAATGAATGCGGAGGAACTTTGTCACGTTCTCGAGGAATTCAATCCAGACGCTAACAGATTAGATCCCAAGATACTTACCATATTCAAAAACGAAAATGTCGATGGAAAGATATTTAAATTTTTGATTTACGAAGAAACAAAGGAAATTTTGCCTGGATTTTCCTTTCGAGATAGGAAAAATCTCCTGATAACTCGAGATGAACTGATAAGATGTGAAAGAGCTGGAGAACTAGACGCATCGATTGATAGACCAGGGAAAGAGAAACTTAAAGTAAAAAATACCGAACGGAAAGCATACTTTCGAGAATCATTTCGGAAATTTGAAACGCCCGTGGGTAATCTTGACAATTACCGAAAATCTGCAGTAATAAGAACCAGTATAACGAGACCACACAACTTGATAGAACCTGTTCATCTTTTTCTCAGCAAAGACGAAGGAGAAAAGATAAGATGGATCGCTGAAGAGACTGTCCGTTTTGCTTCGGCGTGCATGAATGAAAGGACGAACGGAACCATTCATTTTGGTGTTGAACGAAAAGCCAACAGTGATTGCTTGGAAGGGGAAATTGTCGGTATAGAAGTGGAGAAGGACAGCTGTAAGGAAGCACTCTATCAAGCCATTACTTCTCATTTCTATGAGGACCAAATAGAGTTGGCTCTGAAGTGCATCAGACCAGTTGAATTTATTGAGGTGAGCAGCGTCAATCAACATGAACAAAACCTTGTTGTTGTTGAAGTCGACATCATTCCCAACTCCACTTTAGTTCAAGATGAGGCGGTATACGTAACGTTTGAAGAGGGAATGGTTTTATATCGCTTCATGAATGACGACCCACATCCATCATCACTGACAGAGGAACAGACACGCCAGTATATGAAATCCAAAAAAGAACTTGCGCAGTACAGAAAACAACAGGAACAGATTCCTAAGACAGTACCCATACAAGAAGATCTCAGACAGAACTTCTTAAACTTATTTTCCGGTGGTTGCGAAACTCTAGCTGAAGAAATTTATCCTATTATATTCCTCAGTCCATTGGAATGCAGCACTGATCTTAACTTTACAGAAAACTTCCAATTCGTCAATGACATTGAGCCATGTATAATCTTTGATTTTGATTCTTCCAGCGGTGCCAACGGAATGTACAATTTCATAGAGGTTGAAAAGGAACAAGTCGTGAAAGTGTTGACTACAGAAAATTTCGACAGAAATTCTGAAGAAAATAAAACAGACCACGATCGAAGAAATCATTTGTTTGATGATCTTAAAACCTCGGCCTTAAGACCTTGGGTTTTTTGCAATGGGTATGACGTCATGGAAAAAGAACCCATGATCGTGTTAGACTGGAAAAGAAAAAGAAGTGAAGGATTCAAAGAGGCTTTGAGATTTTATGGAGAAGAAATTCCCAATGGGAGAGCGATGGTCATTTTTCTTCTGTTATCGAAGAACTATGATGTACTTCTTGAAGCTGCAGAAGAGGTTATACTGAAGTTCCAGGACCAATGGATGCTACTTGCACCGACGGAGGACATCGCCAATAGTTGGATTAGCGAATTGCTGAGACGACAGAGTATTGACAGGAAGACAATGTCAGAAAGATGCATTGTAGGACTACCATGGAACCATGTTAATATAATGCTGCAACAATTAGTTTCTACAGACAAAAGGGGATCGTGTGAAATTGCAACGTCAAAAGGAGCATTTTGTTGTTTGCGTGATAAAGTAAGAAACGAAATGTACGACCTTGAGATACTCAGCAGAAAGGAATGCGATGACACAGAGATAGCCAATGATCCAGAGAAAGTTGAAAAGCACAGTATGGAAACTCAGGAGTCTTTTTTTCGGGGCGTCCAGGTTACATGGTGGAACTATTGGTTTGGCTCTGATCATGTATTACTGAGATCACAGCATCCCAGGCTGATGGACATCCTTACAAATGCGCTGAACGGAAAACAAAATGACGACGATTGCAGAGTTGCTATCGTCAACCTGATTCACCAACCGGGAGCAGGTGGAACTACCTCAGCAAGACAATTACTATGGGATTTACGAGAGAAGTATAGGTGTTGTATTGTGAAGCAAATCACTGATCAAACGTGTGACCAAATTGCTCTGCTAAGAAATTATGAAGACCCATCCACCCCCAAACCGCCGATCATATTGCTGGACAATTGTGATGAAGAGAATGTTCAAAACCTTTACGCATCATTGGAGAATCGAGCCAGACTTGCTGCAAAACGAAGCGAAACAACACCCTTTCCCTGTTTCTGTGTTCTTCTTCTTTGCACTCGGAGAACAAACCTGCCAACGAAAACTGACAAATCAGTTGTTCTTCTGAAACATGAGTTGGAACCCCGTGAACTAGAATGGTTCAACAAAAAGTATGAATCTCTTGAACAAAAGTATCAAAACGAGAATGGCGTAAATCCTCGTTTACTGATATCTTTCAACATTCTGAAAGAAAACTTCAATCAGGAATATATTACTCGTACTGTTCAACAGTATGTTGATAGTATTGAATCTGAACTGGAGAAATACCTGTTATTGTACCTGGCCATGATGAACAGCTATGACATTGACTTCAAGTCCATACCTATCAGCGCCTTTGACACGATGATGAGTACTGGATCAAATGTTATTTCATTTGGCTTAGTATCACCTCAACGTCAGAGGTTGAAAAGACGTTGGGAGAGCCATATGAGTTCTTCTTTGCAAGTTCTGTTGAACCGATCATCTCGAGGGGGTTTAGGTACAAACCTTCGGGCTCTTTCCATCATCAACAAATTGTTTGCACGAGAAATATTTAAATTCTTACAGGCAAAGCTAGCGATGGAAACGAGCGGCGCTATGCTAAGTTTTCTGCATTCACCGGTTTTTGACAACCAGAACAGGTCAGTTGAACAGGTTAAGAAAATCGTCAAAGATATTCTGAAAAAGAGGGAACAGCTTGAAAATGGAACGAGAGCAAAATTTTCACCTATGCTTGTTGAAATCTGCTTGAAAGAAGACCCTGACAAAGCAGCGGCAGTTCTTTTGAAGGGATTTCGCATGACGCTGGACCCAATGATTGCGCAACAAATAGCAAGGTTTTACATCAGTTGCAAAAATTGGGAAGAGGCAATCAAATATTCCAAGATAGCTACGCAAATGAAGCCCAACAGTTCATACTTATGGGATACTTTTGGTTTGGTGTACAAAAACCAATTGCAACAGAAGTATGAGTGCTGTCTCCAACAAGGAACCAAACTATCCATGAATGAGACGAGGGACGTTATTCAGTTAGCAAGTACAGGCATAGACATATTTCACAAAGAACAATCAGTCAGCGAACAAGAAAAAAATGCTTCTACAAATGACGCAGGATACTACAACGAAGTATATCTAGTGATACTTCTGTTGGATTTGCTGAAGGTATCGTCACCAATCGACAGACGGACATTGCATACCATTTTGGTTGATCGAGATATTGGGTATGAAAAGATCAGCTGCTCCGACCTCGACAAGGAGACTTTTGAATATTTGCGGACTCTTCGGCTTCATACTGATGCAGCTATGAGAAAGTTGGAAGACAAAATTACCCAACTAAAGGACAGTGCAATGAAAAACGCACATCTGGGTAAATCTGGATTTGCATATCGCTCAATATCTCATCTCAGGGAAAACGTAGATAGCTACTTTGGTGAGGATACAGATGAAGTGCCTGAATACTTGAGCCAGAAAGATAAGACAGATTTTAGAAGACGGCGAATCCGTAAACTTGGCGGGAGATCCCTAGCCAACATCCTTGCACTGCGACGTGACCAGGACGGTGAAAGAAAATTGAGGACAATATTCAGCCATCTTCAAGCAAATTTGGGCTCGGAAAATGTCGAAGCATTCGACATCAAAAGTTTCATAAGTGTGGCACTTGTGATGCATATAACGAATGTTGAACGTTGTCCATATCCCTTTGAGAAGTTGGTTGAATTGAGCAAACGACTGTACACTATGCAGAATGAGAGTCAAGAAGAGCTACCTTACTTGGAGGTATTCTTATACTTGATGATGCTTCACTGGCCAACAGAATGCAGAAAACACCTGCCACTATACCCTATCGGGAAACTTCCAGATGCTATGAAGAATTGGAAAATAGCCTTTCAAAGGAACCATCCACGTCAGATGAGCGGCAACCCATATCGTATGAAGAGGGAAACAACATATTTCTTTCTTGGGAAAGGTGAGGGATACGACGAAATTGTTTATTATGAAGAGTTACACGGCAGTCATATGGGTAGATATTTCAAAGGAGACACCGTATGGTCGCAGCAGCAGACCATAGACAGATTGAAGCGTCTTGAAGGGATACTGATTAACGATGGAACAGATGTGTCCGTTCAGATAGAGACCGCCGGGGGCAACAAAACACATATAGTTATCCCCACTGGGACGCACATTGGGCAACGGACCCTTTGGCAAAAGAGAGTCTACTTTTACCTAGGATTTACTTGGTCAGGACCCAAAGCCTTTGATGTTACACGGGATGACAGAAAATCCACCGACCAGGTTGCTCGGTGTTCTAGCCATTTCATAAAACCCAAAGGTAGAAACATTCCATTGATACAAGAACCTGACGTTGCGCAGCAGATTGTTACTATCCACGATTCACTAAGGAAGATCGACCAGCTGAAAATAATGAGAGGATGGAGCAGTCGAGAGGTATAAATAATTACATGTCAGATATATTTTGGTACATTTTCTATCATGTTAATAAAGGTTAATGTATTTATATAAGGTCTTTCAAATAACAAATAAGGATTCCTGTCCCACTGTATTGTGTTTTTACCTCACCTGCCCGAAGGGCAAGTGAGCTTATGTCATGGTGCGTCCATCGTCCGTCCGACCGTCCTCGTCCGTCAACTTTTTCTTTAAACAACTTCTTCTAAAGAACGGACAGGCCTAGATTCCTGATATTTGGCTGAAAACTTTGTTGGTAGGAGCCCGACAAAATTTGAGAACGAAAATGACCTTGAAGGGGTTAAATATGTCAAAAACTTCAAACGACTTCTTCTGAAGAACTGAAAGGTATAGAATCTTTATATTTGATTGATGGCTTTCTGGAATAGAGCCCGATACAGTTTGAGAATGAAAATGACCTTGACTTTCTTTCAAATTCACAGGGGTCAAATATGTCAAATGCTTCAAACAACTTCTGAAGAGTTGAAAGGCATACCTTGACCTTCTTTCAAGGTCACAGGGGTCAAATGGGTCAAACACTTCAAACGACTTCTTCTGAAGAACTAAAGGTATAAAATCTTTATGTTTGGCTGGTGGCGCCCGACAAAGTTTGAAAACGAAAATGACCTTGACCTACTTTCAAGGTCACAGGAGTGAAATATGTCTCATGCTTAAAATACTTAGCTACTAAATAGTTAGCTTGTAGCTTCCTGGGAAAGAGCCCAACAAAGTTTGAGAATGAAAATGACCTTGACCTACTTTTAAGGTCACATGAGTCAGATATGTCAAACACTTCAAACGACTTCTTCTGAAAGACTGGAAGGTTAAGAACCTCAATATTTGGCTAGCTATTTCCTGGGAAAGAGCCCAACAAAGTTTGCGAATGGAAATGACCTTTGATTACTTTCATGATCACAGCGTTTAAATATGTAAAACGGTTTAAACAACTCCTTCTGAAGAATTATAAGGCATAAACTTATAATATTTGGCTGGTGACTTCCTGGGATAGAGCTCACCAAAGTTTGCGAATGAAAATGACCTCAACCTACTTTAGATGTCACAGAGGTCAACAACATTTTAAAAGATTTGTTCTTAAGAACTAAAAGGAATGGATTCATAAGATTTTTGTGGTAGCTTTTTGGAATAGAGCTAAACAATTTGGAAAGGAAAATGACATTGACCTACTTACAAGGTCACAGGAAAAAATATGTCAAGCAACTTCTGAAGAAGAATCAAAAAGCATAGAATCTTATAATAATATTTTGCTGGTGGTTAGAACAGATGGAGCCGACAAAGTTTGCGAGGGAAATATTTGTAGTGCAATATTATATTTAATGAGAACATTTTTCTATGACTGCTTCAGGTGAGCGATACAGGCCCTCTGGGGCTCTTGTTCCTACACACAATAACCTCCCCTTAACTGCCGTTTTGATATAACTGTAGCACAGTAGGACCAGGACACTTCTGTTGAACAGATACAATGATGTAGCTCAATCGGTTAGAGCAATAGTACATCAATCTGAGATTCATGGTTCGCAATCCGGTCTCACCCCGCTGAGTTTGTTTTCACATTCACTGTTGATTATATCTTGTATATTGCATCATTATTATTTCATATAGTCCCGCAAGGTATGGTTTTCTTTTCGGAAATTATGTATCAAAGCTTTATCATGTCAGTAAAACAGTTTCAAACTCTTAGTTACAGCTTTTTGTAGTGGTACGGGATCCTTTAAACATTCAGTTTATATCAAATTGCTTTACATGAGTTATCGGTGCATATTTGCTGTTAATTATTTATTTTTGTTTTAAGCAGTTTATATTATCTTATTACTTAATAGTTTACTATATTTATTTATTTGCCCATTGAAAGAAAAACCTCATCAAGCAGGAGCCTGAATTACGGAGGAACCTCGCAATCCTTATCAAACGTCGGCAGGACTTCTTCGAGGCACCAATTTAGGTAATATTATAGAAACATGAGCTTGGATATTGTTAAGAAATTCCTTTACATTATGATGTTTCGGAAGTGTTAGTTTGCATCATTCAAAATAGACAACCACAATATGAATATATTAGGGTTGTCAACGGTTAACCGGTTACTCGATTGGAAGACCGCGAACCGGTTACCTAAACCAATTACCAAATAATCGGACATTCATTTATCCCATGTGAAGCCCCATGTTTATCTGGCTTAGACCTATAAATTATCTGTCAATGAGACCCAAATCGGGTATTTTTGTAATGAAAACAATGTTTAGAATAAGCATTTACTACTGTTATTGTATTCTATAGCATGGCCATAGATAATCTAATAATGTGTCTATAATAAAGATTAACAAGAAGATGCCAACCGCACCATGAAAAATCTAAAAATTGTTTTAAAGTAAGCCAGAATGCAATGTTGTGAAATGCAAACTCTGCGAGGTTAAAGTTGCTTTTAAAAGTGGGACCTTAAATAATCACAAAGAGTACAAACTTGACTAATTTCAGAGAAATATTAAAAGAGGTGCAGTAACCAATGAATTAGTTTATCAAATTATGTTTATCAAGAACAAGACTACCACAAATGAGTTTGAGTAAAAATAACTTGTGTTACATCCCGCTGTATTCTGAACGAAGTTATCCTAAATACATGTAGTATGGCCTGCGTTTAGGTGTTGAGATCTTGACATACGTGAGTAAACTGTTGTATTAATTAAATATATTGCAAAATAATTTAAAAGATATATGAATTGTAAATACGTTTTGAATATAACATTAGCTATAAACATACTATGTAACTGTAGTTTGATTACCAAACTGACCGATCAACCGGTTACTCGGTCGAATGATTTTTTGAGTAACCGGTTACTAAAATGCTTCCGGTTTGACAACCCTAGAATATATAGTACTAATTTATAAACATGATGTACTTATATAACCGTACGATGACTTTGAAAATATATTAAAAGAAAACTTTTTTTTTTTTTTTTTTACAGTTTTTGTGTCGCCTACGACAGATGTCGGAAAGACACAGAGGCGCTGCTTTTCCGACGGCGACGGCGGCGTCAACAATGTTAAGGTTTTGCGTTTAGCTCTGTTTCTGACAAAGCTACACCAACAAAACCTCGATCATAGATGTAGCATGGGTAGTGGAGCCTACTGCACTAAAAACATTCATTGATTTCTGCATTTTTTTGGTAAAAACCTCAAATTTCTGGACAACGTTAAGGTTTTGCGTTTAGCTCTTACATATTAGGCTGTTTCTGACAAAGTATAAATGCTAGAGCAACCAAACTTGGGTCATAGGTGTATCAAGGGATGTATAGCTGAATGCTTTACACTCTTTACTAGCATTTTAACGATTTCTGATTTTTTTTGGTAAAAACCTCAAATTTCTGGACTTAGAAAAAAACTCAATTCCGATTCTCTTTAAATGTATCCTAAGTACTATGTCAAATGCTTGTTATATTGACAAAGCGGGACAGGCGACACATATAATTACGCGTAATTCTTGTTTGAAATATTCTTTTCCTATTTTATTTTTTCAGTCCCAAGGTTTTGCACTTTGACAGACGTTAGTATTAAGAGACAGTTGCAGCAAAACGTGCCTGTGAAATCATATTCAAATATTTTTGAATACTTGGACATCTTACAAGTTTAATTCACACGCAGGACAATTCACGTGTATGATGTTAATTCGTTTGTTGTGTTTGTTTTTCCCCACATTGAATTGTATATCAATAATTGTTTAATAAGGATCAAGAAATAACCCGCATTGTTGGGGAAAGTGAAATAGTAGAGACAAGATTATTTAATGACTCTTGTATTATATTCAGAATGATGATCTTTATGTAATAATCATTTACATTTATCGACAATGATCAAGTTATTAATATCTGTTCTTTTTAGATGCAGTTACTTTGTTGGCCTTTATAGAAGATCTACTTCAATTTGCATAACAATTTCCTTAGTAGCAGGATAAGGATTATTCGTTCTACAAGATTATGTATCTTTGGTATTCTATTATGTTTGGAATAATTCTTGACTTGACATGAAACAAAGAAATTCCTAAATTACTTAGTGTGTTGAGGTATGTCAGTATTTTTCAAATATAATTTCTGCGAATCAATAATTGCGTTTTGATGTGATACTAGTTTCTACTCGATGTGTCATATTTAGTGCATTTAGTGAATGCTTTTCAGTATCATAACATATAGACAGTTAGAGGAATGATATTACAATTTTAGTATCATAACATGAAGACAGTTAGAGGAATGTTATTACAATTTTAGTATCAAAACATATAGACAGTTTGAGGAATGATATAACAGTTTTAGTATCATAACATAAAGACAGAGGAATGTTATAAACGTTTTAGCATCATAACATATAGACAGTAAGAGGAATGTTATAACAGTTTTAGTCTCATAACATATAGACAGTTAGAGGAATGTTATAGCAGCTTTAGTATCACAACATAAAGACAGAGGAATGTTATAAACGTTTTAGTATCATAACATGTAGACAGTTAGAGGAATGTTGTAGCAGTTTTAGTATCATAAAATATAGACAGAGGAATGTTATAGCAGCTTTAGTATCACAACATAAAGACAGAGGAATGTTATAGCAGCTTTAGTATCATAAAATATAGACAGTTACATGAATGATATAACAGTTTTAGTATCATAACATATAGACAGTTAGAGGAATGTTATAGCAGCTTTAGTATCACAACATAAAGACAGAGGAATGTTATAACAGTTTTGGTATCATAAAATATGGACAGTAAGAGGAATGTTATAAACGTTTTAGTATCATAACATAAAGACAGTTATAGGAATGTTATAAACGTTTTAGTATCATAACGTAAAGACAGTTAGAGGAATGTTATAAACGTTTTAGTATCATAACATATAGACAGTTAGAGGAATGTTTTAGCAGTTTTAGTATCATAAAATATTGACACAGGAATGTTATTACAATTTTAGTATCATAACATAAAGACAGTTAGAGGAATGATATAACAGTTTTAGTATCATAACATATAGACAGTTAGAGGAATGTTATAGCAGCTTTAGTATCATAACATATAGACAGAGGAATGTTATAAACGTTTTAGTATCATAATATAAAGACAGAGGAATGAAATAAAAGAAGTTTTACAATAAATATATGTCGGATGCACTATGTATGTTCTATTTCGTAGAGTGCACATTGTGACATATACTCCACTATGAATTATTTGTATCGATAATTTATATGTTTACCCAATAAAATTAATTGATATTACTATCAACAATACCAGTAACTTGTATCAATTTCAACGATACCCTTTATTTGTATTATAGTCAACAATGTTCATGTTGAGTACATACCATTTATTTGTATTAGTATCAAACTGCTCATGTTGAATACATTTCCGTTGTTTGTATTAGTATCAACAACGTTCATGTTGAATATGTACCGGTTGTTTTATTCGTATCAACAATGTTCATGTTGAATACGCACCCTTTATTACTATAAGTATCAATGATTTTCATGTTAAATACAAACCATGTATTTGTTTTAGTATCAACAATGTTCATATAGAATACATACCCTTTATTTGTACCATTATCATCAATAATCATGTTGAATACATACCTTTTATTTGTATTAGTATCAACAATGTTCATGTTGAATACGTACCCTATATTAGTATAGGTATCAAATATTTTCATGTTGAATACGTACCCTTTATTAGTATAGGTATCAATATTTTTCATGTTGAATACGTAACCTTTATTAATGTAGGTATCATGTTGAATACTAAGTACGTACCCTTTATTAGCTCACCTGCCCGAAGGGCTAGTGAGTTTATGTTATGGTGCGGCGTCCGTCGTCCGTCCGGTGTCCGTCGTCCGTCAACTTTTCCTTTAAACGACTTCTTCTGAAGAACTGAAAAGTATAGAATCTTCAAATTTGGCTGGTAGCTTCCTGGGAAAGACCTTGACCTTCTTTTAAGGTCACAGGAGTCATATTTGTCAAACACTTCAAACGACTTCTTCTGAGGAACTCAAATGTATAGAATCTTCAAATTTGGCTGGTAGCTTCCTGGGAAAGACTTTGACCTTCTTTCAAGGTCACAGGAGTCATATTTGTCAAACACTTCAAACGACTTCTTCTGAAGAACTGAACTGTATAGAATCTTCAAATTAGGTTTGTAGCTTCCTGGGAAAGAGCCCGACAAAGTTTGCGAATGAAAATGACCTTGACCTTCTTTTAAGATCACAAGAGTCAATTATGTCAAAAGCTTCAAACGACTTCTTCTGAAGAACTGAAAGTTATAGAATCTTCAAATTTGGCTGGTAGATTCCTGGGAAAGAACCCGACAAAGTTTGCGAATGAAAATGACCTTGACCCACTTTCAAGGTCATATGGGTCAAATATGTGCTGATGACAGATTTTTAGATGAATGAAATGTTCAGGTATTTAACTTTTGAAAAATGTATACTTTGATATATTTCCATGTCTGTGTCCGGATTTACACAGGGGCAAAATGTTTCTGTTTTGGGTCACCAGTTTTGCTTGTAAACTTCCGGTTGTCAACTTATTGGCGCTGTGACACTCCAATATGCCACTAAACCAACCAAAAAGTTCATTTTGTAGCCTTTGCAAGGTATGTATTTATGAAATGTTTGGTATTAACATATAGTAAATGATTTAGTTGTGCGAGTCGTAAAGAGACGAATGCAGTCATGATATTAGAATAGACCCGGGGGTCTGACCGAACCGCTAGGGACCTAGTTTCTTAGTACTTAGTATTAGTATCAGCAATGTTTATGTCGAATACATACCCTTTATTTGTATTAGTATCAACAATGTTTATGTTGAATACATACCCTTTATTAGTTCCCCAATTCGGAGAATAGGGGGAGGGGGTTTAAATGAAGTCATCCCGGCGACGGCGTCCACATCCCCGTCGGCGTCCCAATTCAGGTTAAATTTTTTTCAGTCATTGTTCGATCACCACAGTCAAGAGGCTGATTATATAAGGCTGTGCCATTTATATGGTGTGGAAGCAATTTGCTGAAACTTTTTTCTCTCATATTTGTGATCAAAACAGCATTATTTCTGTTGGTTTAATGTTTTGAGTAAGTTTGTTGTGCAGTTTTAGATCACAACACTCAAAAGGTTGTGTGTGAGAAGGTTGAGGGATTTATAGGGTGTGTAAGCAAAGTGCTGAACCATTTTTCATATTTTAAAGGCCAAAAAACTTATTAGACTTTATCAAAGTTTTTGAGCAGGTTTTTTAAGACAGTGTTGGTTCACAACACTCAATAACCTGTTGAATATTACGAGGCTGTAACTTCAGTTCAGTTTCAGTTTCTTTATTTCCATCCGTCTTATAGGTTAACTTCACTGAAGCCCATATATTGTATTATTACCATTATCTTTATATATCTAGTGTTTTGCCTGCAGTGAGACAGGTGAACTTAGGTTAGTGATTCCTCATTACTGCTTTCTTAGGAATCGTTCGGCAGATGAATCAATTTCTATCAATTGATTACAGTTAATCCTTCATTGAACTTACAGTCAACTAAGTACATGTAAAGGTTTGTTTCTATGTGAACATATTTTCATCGTCTGTGACACATGAGAAACATTGCGACACTTTCTCAGAAGTGTCGCCATTGGTGGTATTGTTATGGAATATTTATGTTTAATTTATATTTTAATTGTGAATTGATCTTGCTGCAAATTGTTGTAATGAATTATGTTTCATTATATATCTAACCAAGCTATAAATGTAAATAATGCTTGTTCTAATCAGTGTGTACTTCACATTTCTAAGGATTCCAATATTCTTGTTTTGCACACATACATTGACGGTGTTGTCATTAAATATTTATACTTAATTTATATTTCCCATTTTAAATTGATCTTTAAATTGATTTGAATCAGCTTAATAAATTATGCATTTTCACAATATATCCAACCAAGCTATAAATTCAATTCAGTTTGTACTTTTCATTTGTCGTGTAATAGAAACAGGCTTTCATTTTTAACACGCACACATATATTTGAGATATAAATGGCATGGAGGGACATTTTGTATTCATTGAATGTATTTACAAAGGTAATAATGATGCACGTCCAGTGATCATTGTGATTTTGGTATATTTGTTATTTTTGATACTTTACATTTAATTTGATATATTTCCATGTCTGTGTCCGGATTTGCACAGGGGCAAAATGTCTGGGGGCGTTACATTAAGTTATCTCAAATATTTGCTTTCATTCGTTTTTTAAACTACGGCAAATTATGGAATATCTAGCGTGAATTACTTAGTGCTATGGAAATATTAAATTTCAAGTGTAACATTCCATCTGAAATATAAATTTCAGTGATCCAATCAATCATAGTGTTTCACCTTAATAATGATTATGTCTATGACATCAAAAATATGGAGCATTATTATTAATATTTAAGTGATCCAATCAGTCATTAGTGTGATGTCATAATAATAATGATGATATAAATTACGGATGCCGCGGAATTATTACAGTATATGTGCATAAGGTTTAAACACTTTTATATCTCTCTTGTTAAATTCTGAGACTTGTTAAAATGGAAATCCAGGAAAGATTTACTTTAACCAGGACATAACTTGTATATCTAATATTATAATATGTATGTAGATTACAGGACAGCGGTAAAAAAAATGTTGAATGTTATCATGAAACTTTATCGAAATGTTGATTCGACGGTGGTAGCTTATTTATTCTATAATGTTTCATACACGTACACAAATAATTTAATTCACTAAAAAGATGTTTTTTTTATAATTGATGTGTCTGTGTTTTTTTTAACATTATCAAATTCCCTAAACGAATAAACATTACACAAAGACACTGCATAAGTGACATTTAGCGACAAATTAGAGAATGAATTGTTCACATGCGCTAAAATATACTGAAATGCATCAATCATATATCTGTAAACAATATATCAATCCTTCTGTATCGGACGTGGTTGGGAACTCATGTTTCACAGACAATTCTGTTCCGATATGAGAGAGATATTTTTCACAAACGACTATGTTCCGTTTGAACAAATAGTTTTTTGTTGATTATTATGTCCTAATGGGAAAATTTCGGTTATCAGTCAAAATAGTATGTTTTACTGGAGGAACCGGATGCCAAAATGTAAACTTCGCAAGCCTGTTTTAGGAATTTTGTGATACGTAGGCAGCTGACTAGTGGATTATACATGTATTGCCCTTGGTGTATGGACACGTGATTCTCTTTTTCTCCAAAATCATGTTTCATGAGAAAACCCAGTCTCAAATTGAAAACAAATTCTCAAGTTGTTGATTTTTTTTCTGCGTAAATATTTCCACATTCACAATTCAAGATAATGGACCTTTAACATTACAAAGAGAATGCGATTACTTCTATATACGCACCTTTATCAGGGGAAAATATTTATAAACTTTTCCCTAAGGATTACATTATCTTCTAATTTACATTTACATTTTTACATAAAAACTCATATCAAAACTGTTCCTCCAGTGAATTAAATGACTACAACTTTAGAGAGAATTATATCAAGAAAACTTACATCCAAGCTATTTCTTTAGGGAATCTAATAACAGACATAATTTTGTCGAGAGCTTTTGACCAAATCTGTTCCTAAAGGAAACCCATCAGCTACTACACTAGGTACCATTTTGTTTACATCCAAGCTGTTCCCTCATGTAACGCGATAGCTAATACATTAGATACCATTTTGTTTGGGAAAGTTATATTCAAGCAGTTTTCTCATGTAACCTGATAACAAATTACTTCAGATACATTTTATCAGGGTATCTTACGTATGAGCTGATCCTTACTGAAAGTTAATAACTTCTAGATACAATTTGAGGACGAAACTCTCAATCTGAACTGTTTCATCAGGTAGTATTTTTTTTCTTTAGATAAATAATAAATATTACTCATAATTCCAACTGCTAATGTTCATGCAGCACATTAGATAATAATAAGATAATAGTAATCAATATATTTTGCTTTTGAAGTATAATTGATATTTATCAGCTTGAATTAAGGTGTCACACCCTATCCGATATTACTAGAAGGTTGTGAAAACTATCACAGGTGTAGGTTGATACAAACATCGAGGTATTAACACATACAAAATATTTCACCATGTCCTTACAAAATTGTTAATTTGAATCAAAACCTACTATAAATGCATGTATCTGTCTTCTACGGTACTCTAAAACAAGTTAATGAAAATTAAAATAAAATAAATATTTGACCCTACATCGGAGGTACAACATGTTATTCCACCTTAGCCCCATTTGAGTATTATGGACATTAACTGCTGATGGAAACGAGCCGTTTTGTAAGGTTGAATGAAGGGTGGCTCCTAAGCAACTGTTCAAGCAGATAGCTGAAGCGGTAAAATGATTTCCTGATAACAATTCAAGGCTGGAAAAATCCCTGATTTAGTTGGAGAGGGTCTAGCCTCAGAGAGAACTAACTGCTTAAAAAGCCCTACTACGAACTTCAGCTAAGACCTTGACTGGATCCTTCTGTTGTTTCTGCCGTTGTCGTGGACTGGAGGACTGCTTCTAATGTCCTGTCACTGTGTATCCGCGTCTGCGCTACGCTTACTCCAGAGAATACACTGACGTCTTTGTCGCTCGCGATAGATTATCAAAAGTGCTCATCTTCATTAGTGCAGAACAAACTTGTCTGATTTGTTTGATTTTTTTCATTGTACAATAACAGAAACAAAATATCTCGCTTGAATGACTGAAGCCGATGTACGTTACATTCGTGTGATAATGTTTTTAAATGAGTAACAGGTTATATGTTCATCCTTGTTTGAAGTAAAAAGTAAACGTTCGTCACTCTAGATGATATGGGTGGGTATCAAGCACTCAAAGAAAGCAAATGCCCCTTCTGGACATAACACTCTCTAATTATCGACGAATATATAGGTTGATAAAGATATTCACGATGCTTTTGTGTGATGTACCTTCACGAGTTCGAAATATTTAGCTGTTTATAAGTATAAATATGATGATAGAGCTCTAAATAAAATTCATGGTACTATTATTGTTTGGTTCAGAACAAGAGATTTTGAGATTTAGTGTTGGTTGGANCCCCCCACCCCCACCCCCAGAAAAAAAACTAGCGCCAACTGACTGACGTACTTCCTTAGTTCCTCTGTGATATAATGATGCACATTTTTTATACGAAGTGAATATATTTCATAACCGAGGTAAAGCTGGATTGCACAATTCTAAGGTATGCTTTCTTATATACAATTACTGTTACATGTATTTGTTTTCTTTTTAAATCTACCCTTGATAATGTTTGATCGAAACATGCAATAAGATTTAATGATGGATTTAACCATATTTCCTCTCCAGTTTGTTTGCTTATTCGAGGGGTCTGACATATCACTAGAGCAATCTTACAATGCACCAAGTTTACCTGTATATATTTTATCGTATCATATCAGGTGACATGCATTTAAATGCATCATATTGGGACAACCACATATATTGAACTTTTTTTGTTGCCGTGCAATAGCGACTGTTTCTTAATAGCAGGTCTAAATTCGGATTCAACTCTTATTAAATCGATAATGTAGTGTTTACAGGATCGATTACGGGTTTATACTTGTGTGTATATACAGATATTAGGAATATGTGTCGGGTTCTACACGGTTTGGACAAAACCCAAAGATCAAGATCAATATGGCGAGATAATAATAATGTGACGAATAGATACTACTGGATACGTTAAGAAAGAAAAAAAATGGCAATCCACCTACAACGACGAGGTGAGTACAAATTTAATTTGAAATATAGGACAACATGTCTCAACGTGATCATTGACTTGGCATTTTAAATACATCATACCTTGGTACCGAAATATACACAACTGAAACCACATATTACAAGAAACTACAAGAAGAAATACAGGAAGTAACATATAATCCCGTTTGTTACGAGACTTGGCAGACTGGACAGAGATAGTGACATTGAGTCGATTATGCGCCGTTCATAAAATTTCATATGGAATTAACGATTTGATGTTATCATGTGTAAGTATAGGAGAAACGCTTTTATTTAAAAACACGTTGATGAAATTGTTTTCATCCTTGCTCTTTCATAGTGCTAATTATGGCGTTTACATCAAGGGTGTCTCTGTAAAGCATCATATAATTGTAAAGAAAGATTTTGTTGACTTTTATTGTCGTCGCCATGGTGATATTGTCTTAAAACTGTTGATTATTGTCTACACATATTTAAGTACTTTTCTGAGGACATCGTGTACATAAAAATAAAAATTCACATTATCGAAGTAGACATCCATGTATTGTTTTTTTGAAGTTCAATATTTTACTTTTTAGGAACTATACCTTGACCATATATATTTATGAAAACATGATAAGGACAGCTGGTAAAGGCTATACGTCGATCGACGTGTTAGAGGAGGTGAATTGCATGCTTATACATGCAAGACTGCAAATTTAAAGTTAAACAACATTTGAGGTAAGTGCTAACTATAAAGGCTTCTTCAATAAAATTAGTTGATATACACTAAGATTTGCTAGGTAAAGAAAAAATGTCAAGCACCCCTTTCCTGCCCTTGATATTTCTATCATACATGCACATAAATCAAAAAAAGGAAAATGAATTACTTGGAATCGATGGACCATACACAAGTGTTCACAAATTTAAAAAGTACTAGAAATTTTCAAGGTAAATGTAAGCAAATATGCATTCACGCAGAGGACGGTAGATATCTGGAACAACTGTACATATAATTCAATTCAATGACAGTTTCGATATGTAAGTATAAACATTGGAAGCGCAACAACAACGATATTGTTTTATTTTATAGAAAACAATGGAAACTCTGCTAATGTTTATATGTTAATGCTTTACTGCGATAACAGATAATTACATTTATATGTAATTAGTTCCTTGTGCAAAACTCCATGTGAGTTTTTTTGTATAGTTATTTCCTTGTCAAACCAATACTTTCACGAAACTACAATAGATATGACAGTGTGCCCTTATCATGGACGTATTACAGTTGTTAGTTTTATCATGTTTAGATCTATTTAACCGCATTATTCGATTAATGAGTACAGTGTATATGTTACGGGTTCATGGGCTCATAACAATCCTGATAGATTTCAAAGGCATTCAGTCATACTTGAATAACCTGTCACGTTGACCTCTCCATGAAATATTCATTTTGTTATCAGCTGTATCTACCCCTTTGTTCATGTTCAGGTGTATTGGGACTGGGTACCGTAATTCTGTTAGCCCCGTGGTCTTTTCAGTTAACTATTTAAATCTGTGTTATGTTTCAAACTGAAAATATTTTTTTTGAAATTTTAACAACTTCTTATGAAACACGTTCAAAAATGCGTGTACAATTGTAGAAATTTTGAAAATGCTGAATGTTTGATAGGTGAATTAATGTAATTAATATAAAGCTTACAAACACTCTGTGTGCTTAAACAGAACCAGTTCTTGCAAAAATGTGACATACTGATATATGAACAATATTGAAAACATTACATATTGTATTTTTTAGTAATGATTTTTAGAGCTATCCAACGGTCTTTTTGTGATTTAACGACAAGAGAAAAACACGAATTTAAACAAACCCATAGTTCGAACTAATTAAGCGAGGCACAGGATGTAAGCAAATATATTAATATTAAGAAATGAACCATACATGATGATTAAATCGTTATTGTCACGCTTTTATACAGCGTTTATTATGAATTCGTTCCTGTTGGTCATGGTGTATATTACTTGACAATGTGGTTTTAATGTAAAGATTATAACTTGGTTGATCAAAGAACAATAGCTATTACGTATCTATTTAAGGGAAGAAAAATTGACCAATGTTACGCGTAGCTTCTTTAAAGGACATCTTACATCGTAGAATAAAAGAAGGGTTGTGTTTAACAATATCTGCATTGAAAAGGTACTCTTTAGGCTATTGAAATACCGATATTTGGTTATGACCAGCGGTACTTAATAAGCAAATAATAATCTTTCAAATAGATTGATAAAAGTAAGTTCCCTTACCATGCAGTAAAAAAAAATTATTATAAGATTGACATGATCGATCAATTTCTATATTACCGGTGAAATGTCTGTGTAACGTTTCGCAATAGATAAATGCATGCAAATCTTCCATGACAGACAGTGTATAAAACATTTCCTAACCATACATGTATCCCAGACAAGAGTTAGGTCACTATTCAATGTTTTCGCAAAACAATTCTTTCACACCTACATATTTAGACATGTATTATTTCAACAGTTTTCCTTTTTTGTAAACCTTCGTATTGTTTTACAATTTGATAAAGACTTTTGTAACGTTATCTTCAAATATAACTTTCATTAATGAGAGATTTTGTGGTATCCAGTCCATCCTTTTCTCTTTTATAATAATAATTATAATATTTATTCAGGTAAAAGGCAGACATTACATGTATATCACATTGCAAATTGGACACAAATATATATGTTATCCCAGATGTTATTTATAAGTTATCTATGCCATAGAACTATTAGTAATCAGTCAGAGTGTTAAAAACTGGATTGGATTCGATTAATTTAGGCCTTAACCTGCGATGACCCATAAAACCACATTGTGGCTCAATTCCAATGAGGTCCCTTAGATCTAAATAAATCAATTCAATTCACAAAATAGTTACAGAATTATATAATAGATATTGATAATTTGATAACTCTCTAAGACATAATCTTTTGTAAAAAATAGATTTAAAATGTTACCAAAAAAATCCTTTTATTGTCTCGTATCTGATACCATGGCATTCTGGAGAGCAGGTGATCAGGCATTCCCTACCTAACATTAAGCTCTCGTTCATGCCCTTTACCAGATGTATTAGGAGACTTATAGAATTTTCGAAAGGGCCAATCATTACCGACAAAAATAATTTGAAATAAATAAGATTATACTTACAAGTGTATCCCGTTAGGATTAGTTAAAATATGATACAAATGATATCTTTAAATAAATTGAATAAATTGTAGCGAAGCATTGTACTTTTAATTCCTGATCTTTATGATCCTTTTTATTGTAGACTGATGGATATAGAAAGTAAGCTTATTCTTAGAAGAAAAGAGACATATCTTCGGGAGAATTTGGAAATACATAGTATACTTCCACGTTTGTATCAAGAGGGTGTCATTTCTGATGACGACCGAGAACGAATTGAAAAAGAAGACACAACACGGGATAAAATTTCCAAATTTCTTCGAATTATCAAACGGAAGTTAGACGGCTATAGTAAACTACTTGAGGTGTTGGTTGTGGAGAAACTAAATTTCATTAGAGAAGAACTAGAGTCTACTGAAATCGATGAAGATACTCTCAAGAAAGGTAAGTAACTGATATGATAATTTTCCACCATTATTTTCTAAATACAATTGTATTCCACCTTTAAACATTTACCATGTAATACGATGCTATTCCGCAAGATGCTATTCCGAAATTAATTATTAAATACGATGTTATTCCACCATAGTCAGTCACAATGTAATACGATGGTATTCCACTATCAATTACTTAATACGATGCTATTCTGCAATTTATAACTTAATATGATGCTATTCCATCATTAATCATTCACAATGTAAAACAATGCTATTCCACCATTGTTTAATACGATGGTATTCCGCAAATAATTGCTAAATACGATGCTTTTCTATCATTAGTTTATGAATAATATGGTATTTCAAATTAATTTCTATACGATGGTATCCAACTTTAATGACTTAAAACGATGTAATTCTGCACCATTTATCCGTAATATATCACCATGTCTCTTTGTTTATCGTTCTTTTTCACAGAGCAAGAGTCAGATGAAGAATTTGTGAAAGAACAACTTTCCATCCTGTATCGAGAGTCTGAAGGGGAAAGTATTAGTTACACTTTCCTTAAAGAGGATATAGAGCAAATAAAATATCTAGAAGGCAAAGACTCCAGAACGGAAGAAGAATTTCTGGTACGCTCGGTAGAACAGAATTTCCCAACGGTCAAATATGAAGAAACATACAGTAGCAACACAGGAATGGCGTATCCCTTCATAAAGACATGTTTTAGTTTCGATTTAAAACTGTATATTCCTGGTATATATTCTAATTTTAACTACGCATTATTATCAATAATAATGTTAACAGTATATATGTAACATAAACGGAACGTCTCTTAATTTTCATTATTAGATATTCTTAACTTACAAACAGATACGTGTTTAGAAATCTGGTTCGTAGATCCACAGAAGCTAACAAGGGAAGAGCAGTTCCACAGGAAATGGATGGTAAGGACATGTTTGTAATGACAGCGTGTATATGATTTAGTGATAAGAACAATAGCAATGAATGTTCGAATTGCCAATACCATATACCTTGACATATTAAGAATAATTTACTTAATAAAATTGGTATATCAAGAACAACACAACGATGTATATACCAAGCACATCTACATTTAAAGTATGTTTAATGAGAAACATATGATAAGTACATTTCTCCTGTTCTCTGCTATTGATTTTGATTACTGCAACCTTCGTTTTTGTGTATATTCGACATCGAGGAGACTCTTAATACGAAAATGTTATCCAAATAAAAAAATCACATCACCGTGATCGATTTTCGCCATGAAAGTTTACCATATTGACGAACAAAAATCAATAATATGTTGACACTTTCATCAAGCAATGGTTGTCAAGAATAAATAAATATTGTATTCAGTTAATACTTTTCACTTGTGACCTACGTTGAGTTTGAATTTTCTCTTTTCTTTTAGATCAACAATCAATTGAGGCTGTCGTTAGAGACAACGTATTGCAACTTTTTCGAGAGTCGAGTGATAACGAAATACCATTATATACACTGGAATGTGATATAAAAATGGCCTTACCAGAAACAGAAATCGACTTCCAGAAATTGCCACTCAAGTCAATTGTTCAGAATGCATTTCCAAATGTTAAATATGTTAAAATGAAAAGGGAAACAGAGGACACGTATCCTTTTAAAACATATATGGAGAAAACAATGTAACAATCTTTTTGTTTTAGTCATGACACAATACATTTCCCCTACCATGGTATATTGCCAAGTAATAATACAGCGTATGGCATTACAGCAAATGGTTCACTATAAGACGATTTAGAATAAATGAATCTTTGATCTTAATCCGTGACCCTGATCTTAACAGTGCAGATTCGATAGTAGTCTGTCAAAAATATTTAGAGGTAATTGAAGTATCATCAAACATGTTATTACCCGAAAACAATTCAGTGCTTCAGACATTTTTATAAGCATTACACTGGTACAATTCCAATTTTTGTTTTGCGCCTTGTTACAAATTCTGTGATTGGTTAAACGTAACAGAGCTGGTAATGTTGATCTCAATGGCTGATTTTTCATGTGACAACTTTTAAGATTTTCTAAATTCCCATTGCGGGTTGTCTCCCATTACATAAACCAAACTCACCGTGCAATGTGGCTAGATCTACTGTTTATCATTCTTTTTTGATATTATGTTTGCTTTTTTGTTTATTATTATGGGTATGAAATTTTTTTGAAAAAAAAGTTTAAACTAGACTATTTTCATAAAAGTGACACGTTCTATCGTCTGCATATCGACGATGTCAATGTGACAAAGCTTAAACTGACAAGGTATTTCGAGATCTCTATATATGTGTCTGCTCTCAGTGATCCAAATAATTGCGGGTCTGTTTACAATATCTGTATTTTATTTTGGTGAATGGCTGTGCATGTATATAATGGTATTGTTATTTTTTGTTCTACTAAGTTATCTCTATGAAAGAAAATTTTGGGTGGTCGGGTGGTGCAGTGGATAGCGCACTTGCCTTTCACCAAGGCGGCCGGGGTTCGATTCCCCGATCGGACGTGAAAAGGTATGGGGTCACCTGCCCGACCACGTGGGTTTCCTCCGGGTACTCCGGTCCTCTAACCCTCCGGAACCCCCCCCCCCCCCCCCCCCCCCCCAACATCCGGGCCAACAAGAGTGATTAATATAAGTTGAAATAACTTGTTTCATAATTGTTGTAAAATAAATAAAGTTTATTTTTTGGGGTCTTTTGATGGATAGGATGTTGTCCAACTTTTCCAGGAACTCCTTGTGTCGTTCTGGCCGGGCTTTCGTGTCTTCTGCCTCCCGGATAGTTCCGTCCATCTCGACGACCAAGGGACAGTCAGGTTTTGGCTGTCAAGCCTAAGACAAAGACAAAGGCAAGTAGAGCGTCGTCTTGATGAGACACATCCGGAAAGTTCTCTATTTTGGCTCCTTTGACTAAAATTAGGAAAATTAGGTTATGACGTCTGGGAAGTGGAAGGACATGTGGTTGGAGGATCTGGTCTCTGTATCGAACGGCATTGAGGTTTTGATCCAGGACCACTAAGGGGCATTTTACTCCATTGGAGATGCCTCCCCAAACCATTACAGAAGCCCCACCGAATCTATCGCGTTCAACCACGCATGCGTCGGCGAAACACTTACCGCGTCTGCGATATACCCTTTTTCTTCCGTCTGAGCGATACAAACAGAATCTAAACTCGTCGGTGAACATCACAGGCCTCCATCGACGCATCCCAAACCTATTCGGGCCATGTCTGCGCATCCAGTCAAGACGCACTTGCCGCCTCCGTGGTGTCAGAGGTGGCCCGACATAAGGTAGGCGCGCAATGATTCTCTCGGCACGCAAGCGGTTCCTGACAGTTTGAGGACTAATGGGTCTGCCATGAGTACCGAAGGTATGCGACGCAGTCTCTACAGCAGTCTTGAAGCTGTTGCGCAAGTGCGACAATCGAATCGCACTGTCTTGTCGTGCGGTCGTTACCCGCGGACGACCGCTCCTGGGACGATAGGAAACTAACCCAGTAGCACGGAAATGTGTACAGAGACGGTTAATTGTTCACGGGTCAACACCAAACTGCCGTGCGACAGCAGTTTGGCTATGACCATCCATCAACATCGCAATTGCTCTACCCCTCTGAATTTGCGTTAAGCGTGGCATCACATCAATGGCGAAATCAAAATGCCAACGTGGAAAATTAATGTGGCTGAACTTAGAGTATCCGTTGAGATTATTTGTTTGAAAAACTCCGGCTTGGCTTGATCACGCTGTGTGATTTGGATTAAAGAAGGTCACAAAGTCACACAATGACATCGTCACGCTTGGCTGATTTTAGGGTAGATTGTTGAGAAGGGAGATCGTTCTTGATGTAATACCTGACCAAATATTCCATTATTTCCTTACAGCTAAGGTGTACTGCAGGGGGGAACTTTGTGCGTTTCTTTTTTTGTTCAGTATATAAGATATGCTAATATCATATATGAAATACCTGTATCCTTGACAAGAAAAGATATGTATTCAAAAACTTATCAAGAACATTTGATCATGAAGATGGCACAAGTGTGATACCAAATGATAACAGAGGTAAGCAGATGTTTTATAAAGATGATTTTTGCAATATTTATAAATTATAAACAAACAATTCTACTTTTGTCATTTCCTTAATTTTCAAACTTAACACTGTTAATTGTTTTAGTTGCCGTAACAATTTTTAGTGTGCATTCATAAATAGGTTTTCATTTTTTGTTTTTTGTTTTTGTTTTGTTTTTATCAAAAGTTTCTAATAAAGCAGAGGAAAACCCACATTCCCAACAACAACAAATACATTTGCCAAGAAAGCCTCTCCATTGCTTGAGCGAAGATGAGCTTTGCCGTATTTTAGAGCCGAAGTTTCTTCAGTCAGGAATACCATGTGATGTCTTGATTATCTTTAAAGAACAGGAAATAGATGGACATGCCTTCAAACACTTCGACATTAAAGATTTATCTAACATCACGGACATGCCATACGGGAAGAAAAAGGCAATAATGATAATTAAGGACGAGCTGATCACAGAAGAGAATGACAAACAAAAATCCGAAACATGTCGAGATGTGAACCCTGAGGTAAAATGTGTTAAAAGTAAAGTAAGAGAATCCCTTCGAAGGTTTGACACACCAACAGAGGTGATAGGATCTTACAGAAAATCTGCTTTTGTGTCGACTAACGTCACTAGGATACACAACCTGATTCAACCTATCCACATGTTCATTGATTACAATGACAGTGATTTACAAAATATTGAGGCGAGGCTTGCTAGGTTAACCATGAACTTTGCATCAGCATGCATGAATGATAGGACAAATGGAACCATTCATTTTGGTATAAAAGCATTAACTGATGATGGTCAAATGGATGGAGAGATTGTTGGCATCAGAGCCGATAAAGACAAATGTAACAACGCAATTAAACTGTGTCTGCGAGAGCAATTTTTCGAGGACCAAATAGAAATGGCATGGAAATGCATACGATCTCCCCAATTTATTCGTGTGGTCGAATCAGGCAACAATCCTCCTTGTTTTGTGGTTGAAATTGATGTGGTGCCTCATGCTGCTCTATTGGAAGACGAGGCAGTTTTTGTACGAGAAACAAATATGCCTGACAGCAAACCAACTCTACTCAGGCTCAAAGAGGGTACTTCCACTCCAGAAATACAAAATGATGAACAAATACGCCAATACATGAAAATTAAAAGCAGGCTTCACAAGCAACGCAAAGATGAAGAGGAAAAACCACAATATGTCCAGTTGAATGAAAATTTGAGACAAAAATTCCTCAATGTTTTTTCAGGCGGTGATTCTTTCCTTACTGACGAAACTTATAATATACTCATAACAAGTCCTGGTGATGAAAATTTAAAGAACGAAATAGCAGAAAATAACTTAGAATTTGTTCAAGTCCTTGATCCATATGCAGTTTTCGACTTCAATTCTTCCACTGAGCCTGATTCATTGTACCATTATATAGAAGAAAAGAAGGGACAAGCTTTAAAAGTCATGACAACCGATAACTTTGACAAAGACAGCGACGAAAACAATGTTGACTCTGAAAGCCATGTTCATTTGATGGAAGATCTCCGAAGTTCGACAATGCAAACGTGGGTATTTGCAAATGGATATGACAGGATGCAGAAAGATGGAATGGGCACGTATGACTGGAAACAGAAAAGAAGTGAGGGTTTTAAGGAAGCATTGCGCTATTGCTACAACGATATCCCAAAAGGACGATCATTAGCAATATTTATTTTGCTTTCAAAAAACTACGACATCATGCTAGAAGCAGCTGAAGAAGTTCTTGCTAGATCACATGGGGAATGGATTTTACTGGCACCAACGCAAGACATTGCTAACCACTGGATAACGGAACTACTTCACAGAAATAGCGTTGACAGCGATGTGATCTGTGAGAGATGCATAATAGGGATGCCCTGGGAACATGTGAATGAATTGATTCGTCAGGTTCTTGCACCGATGCAAAGTAGTACTTGCCAAATACCACATTCAAATGGAGCATATTGCCCGTTAAAAACTAAGGTTCGAAACGAACTATGTGACTTGGACATACTCAGTCAAAAAGAATGTGATGACAGCGATATATTGGAAGATGAAACAAAAAAACTGGAACAATTTAGAAAAGTTCAGGAGGCATTTTATCACGGAGAACAGCCAAGTTGGTGGAATTACTGGTTTGGAGAAGACCAAATATGTCGTCGATCAAAACATGATACTCTGAAAAGATCTGTGATGGAAGCACTAAATAGGCAAAAAGCCGAAGAGGACAAAGTGGCTGTTGTTACCTTGATGCACCAACCTGGATCTGGAGGCACGACAGCAGCAAGACAAATTTTGTGGGACTTAAAGAAGGAATTCCGATGTTGTGTCGTTAAAAAAGTCACAGACCAGACTTGTGATCAAATAATTGCCCTACGAAATTATGATGAATCCAATTCTGCTAGACCTCCGGTAGTTTTACTGGACAACTGCGACGAAGAAGGAGTAATTCATCTTCATGCCGTTCTTGAAAGACGTGCAAGGGAAGCATCAATTCGTTCTGAGCAAATGATTGGAACATATTGCGTCCTTTTAATTTGTACCAGAAGAACCAAACTACCGATGTCCGTCAAAGAGTATACTGTTCTTATCCGACAGGAGCTGGAACAAAACGAGCTGGCATGGTTCCAGAGGAAGGCAAGTGTATTAGAACGACGATTCAAAGACAAAGAAGGAGTTGACCCTAAGCTTCTCATATCATTCAATATTTTGAAAGAAAATTTCAATTTTGAATATATCAAAGACATAGTAAAGCAATACGTTGATGGTATCGATTCACAAGAAGAAAAAGACTTGCTGATGTACTTGTCATTGATAAACACCTACGACATGGATTTTCAGCCACTACCTATCAGTGCATTTGATGCGTTGATGATACAGAATTGTAAAACTAACGTTATATTCGGACTAGCGTTCTCACATCGCTTGCAGAAACGTGATAGGCAATGGGAAACAAAACTCAGCTCTGAGTTGAAAGTGCTACTGAACGTCTCATCCAGAAGTGGACAAGGCAGTAATCTTAAAGCTCTATCAATAATCAATCCATTGTTTGCAAAAGAGATATTTCAATATCTTAAACAAGAAGCAAGCACCAGTTCAACCATGCTACGATTCTTACAGTCTAGGGTTTTCAAACGACAAAACAGATCTGTTGACCAAGTCGTTCGGGTAGTCAAAGATGTCCTTAAGAAAAGAGAGGCATTAGAAAATGGTAGAAGACAAAAATTTTCACGAATTTTGACAGAGATTTTGAGTGAAGAAGATACTGAGAGAGCCGTAAGTGTCCTGAAGAAAGGTTTTGAGATGACAGAGGATCCTATGATTGCTCAACAAATTGCACGATTGTACATACACAGCAAAAATTGGGAAATGGCAACCGATTATGCTATAAAAGCAACCCAACTCCGTCCAAACAACTCATATCTCTGGGATACATATGGTCAAATTTTCAAAGCACAGGTATTTGATAGGTATGAATCGTGTATAACGAATGAAGCATTGTCAGTTGAGGACACGTCTCACATCATTCAAGTTGCGATGAAAGGGATTGAGAAATTTCATAAAGAGCAGGATCAAGGTGAGCACGACAAGAAAACGTCCCCAAATGACCCCGGTTATTTTGGAGAGGTACAGCTCATCATACTGTTGATGAAAGTTTTGAATTATTCACCTTTCGATAGAGATGTGATGCACCGGTTCATTGTTGAAAGCACTTTTGAACCAGCTTCGCTTTCCGGTTTAGATGACGAAAGCAGAGATACTCTCAAAAAGCTGCAAGGATTCACTGAGAGTGCAATGAGAAAAATTGAAGAAAGATCGTCACAACTGAAGGAAAATGTAACAAGTTCTATTTTCCGCTATAAAAAAAGTTTACCAGATGAAGGTTTGGCTGTTTTGCGGGAGAACGTAGATATGCTTTTTGGAGAAGGTACAGACGTTGTGCCATCGCATCTTTCTCCTAAGGAAAGCGCAGATTTCAGAAGAAGAAGGGTAAAACGACTGGGAGGACGTTCATTGTCGTCGCTGCTGAGGTACTTACGACAGGAAAATGGTGTATGTGGAAGACAACTGCAAATTATGTTTAACCACTTGACAAAGAATATCGAATCAGGTTGCACAGAGCCATTTGACACTGTTATGCTCGTCAGCGTAGCATTAGCTTTGAGGATCCACAATAAAAACGAGAGCGTTACAGCCAAAGTTCCACATATCTTGGAGCTTACAAAGCGTATGTACGACACTGAGTGCAGGTCAAAAAACGGATTTCCGTATTTAGAAGTCTTTTTGTACCTTGTGATGTTCCACTGGCCAACGCCAGACAGAAAAGGGAAGAATATATGTCCTGTTGGTACGATGCGCGACGCCATTAAACGTTGGAAACTAGCATTTCAAACAAATCACCCACGGCAAAGAGATGAAGGGAATCCACACAGAAAAAAAGAAACAACATATTTTTTTCTCGGAAAGGATCCTGAAAATGACGAAATTGTGTACTATGAGGAACTACACAATCGTCACGGCGGCATGTACTTCAAAGGAGATGAGATATGGCAAGACCCCAATGTTGTACATAAGCTTCAACGCCTGGAAGGAACATTAGTCGGAGATGGATTGGAGGTTCTGATAAGAATAGAGACATCATCCGGAAACAAAGAAGCTTTGACTGTACCAACAGCTATGCCAATAGGTCAAAGGTCATTGTGGCAGAAAAAAGTCTTTTTCTACCTTGGGTTCTCTTGGGCCGGTCCAAAGGCATTTGATGTATCATCTAACGATCGGCAGAATCTAATTTCAAAACCAAAACACAGTCACGACAGCCTGGGAATGGCACGTAAAAGGACGTCCCCAACTCGATCACTTCGTGATCCAACTAAGAGAATTGAAGAAGTTGGTCGGCGTTTACGAAAGATAGAACAACTGAAAAAGATGAAGAACCGAAGTGACAGAGAGGTAAATAACTCAATCTTTGATTTATGCATGATTCAAAATAATTTTAAACGAGTTCAGTCTAGACCTTAAAATAGGATCATGTAAAAGGAAATAGAAACACAAAACGTAATTGCATTCAACTTCAAAAGTTATAGAGTCTTTGTTTGTGTATATTTTAGTTTTGTTTTAGCCGTTTAATAAACTTTTCTTGTCTTAATTCCAGAATTGTCAAATAAGCGAGGAAAACGCTTTACGTTTGGAGTTGAATGATCTTCTCTCTACAATTGAGGATATGTTTGGAGGAAATTAACAAAAGTAAGATACCAAATTATTTGGTGAGTACATTAATAAAATGTTTACATAAAATGTATACTTAGTGTGCTAATGGAGGCGAGTATTTGGTATGTGTGCACGGATTTAAGAGTGTGACAACTAATTATATATATATATGGATAATTGCTTTATAGGTCTAGATGACACTTTGAATACTTAATTTACCAAAATATTTCAACATGGGTTCCAGTTGAATTTCGGTTATTTTTGATGATTGACATAAATATGTTTGATGCAATGCATATATATGAATTTGATATGAGACATCTGATAGCATTTTATGCGTTTCCACACACCCTTCGGGCGTGCTGAAAGTTAAACAGCGGCGCAGCACATGGCTTTTTTTGTGTGGTTTAAGAGGGGTCTATTTTCAAATCCTTGCCTCGACTTGTATACATTGATATAGTTCAATAAATCAAGTGAGTAGTATAAATAGCATGAAAGAAGATACTGATGTGAATATAAACTAAAGATATATCCTGGGAAAAACCTAAGTGTGGTACCCTTATCCTTTTTAGATTTTCTATGAACTGGTATTCCTGTAAAAAAAACATTGACGTTTCCTTTTTATATTATTTCTTCGTCCTTAAGAATATTTTTTCTGCTTTTATATATATATATATATATATATATATATATATATATTGTTTAAATAGTGATATATCACCAACAATTAATGGAAATCCACTTTTAACGTTTCGATATCTCTCATTTGTAGGTATGACATTCCGAAATGGATGGAAGAAATACAACACTTCGTAAGAAAGACAACACTTCGTAAGAAGTACAATACTTCACATGACAGACAACACTCAACAAGCCAACAAAGTGAATTTATCCAGAGGTTTTTTTTTTGTCATCAAGAAAGTGTAGAACATATGTCACATTAGGAATATCATCTTGTGTGACGTTTTGAAGTAGAGATTTTCTGTTTTTGTAGATCTAGAAATTCACAATTATGTAAATGGCTTGCTAAAACCGCGAACTGACAGCACCAAAATGCGACAGTTATATTGACCACAGAAAGAGAAATTGTCCAGCCATTGCGACTTAACGATGTGAAAGAAAGTTAAAGTTTATATAAATATCCATTTTAAAATACTGCGTCATTTTGAAAAAAAAAACATCACATGTACATAAACTTATACGACACTGATTTTGATGGATAGACTTGACTGCATGAGTCACTTATATGTACCACATGTATTCCAAGCAGTATTTCTTTTTATCAACGATATAAGTAATCGTTGTGTCATGTGTTTATATCATATATAAATTATTACACATATACATTTTAAATGGAGAAAGATGTGGGTTTGTAGAACATGCATCATTCATTAAATTGCCTTCAAATACATGCAGTGATATATAACGTTTTCAGATGTACCTTTTTTCAATTTTATGTTTCGTATCCATTTTGTATTTTTTAACCTCATGATGAAAATTCGTTATGTGTGGAGATGATTACATTGTCTGAAGGCCTTAATTGTTTGGAAACAATACATGTCACATTTGTAAAACTGTATTATCAAATGAATTAAAGATATCTAAATGATGTAAAACAAACCTGTATTAATAATGACACTGAGCATGTTGAAAAGATATGATTAGTTCAAGTATTGTAAAATTTATTATTGATGATACTGAACAAGTATTTTTAATCTATTACTGATGAAACTGAACATGTTTGAAAAGATATGATCAGTTCAAGTATTGTAAAATGCATTATTGATGAAACTGAACATGTTTGAAAAGATATGATCAGTTCAAGTATTGCAAAATATATTATTGATGAAACTGAACATGTTTGAGAAAATATAATCAGTTCCAAGTATTGTAAAATATATTATTGATGAAACTGAACATGTTTGAAAAGATATGATCAGTTCCAAGTATTGTAAAATATATTACTGATGAAACTGAACATGTTTGCAAAGATATGGTCAGTTCAACAATTGTAAAATATATAATTGATGAAACTGAACATGTTTAAAAAGATATGATCAGTTCATGTATTGTAAAAAAAATATTGATGGAACTGAGCATGTTTGAAAAGATATGATCAGTTCAAGTATTGTAAAATATATAATTGATGGAACTGAGTATGTTTGAAAAGATATGATCAGTTCAAGTATTGTAAAATCAAAAATTGATGGAACTGAGCATGTTTGAAAAGATATGATCAGTTCAAGTATTGTAAAATATATTATTGATGAAACTGAACATGTTTGAGAAAATATAATCAGTTCCAAGTATTGTAAAATATATTATTGATGAAACTGAACATGTTTGAAAAGATATGATCAGTTCCAAGTATTGTAAAAAAATATTATTGATGGAACTGAGCATGTTTGAAAAGATATGATCAGTTCCAAGTATTGTTGAATATATCACTGATGAAACTGAACAAGTTTAAAAATGTGCGATTAGTTTTATGTAAAATTTATTATTGATGAGAAAATGCTTGAAAAGATATGATCAGTCAAATTCATTATTGATGAATCTAAACATGTTTGAAATTATCTGTTCAAGTTATTGTTAAATTGACGACACAAACTGAACACGCCTGAAAAGATAAATTATGTTCAAAGTACTGCAAAATGTATTTTTGATATAGAAAATGATTGAAAGTATATGGTCAGTCTGAAGTATTGTACAATTACTATCAATGGAAATGGCCATGTTTGATCAGTTCAAGGTATTTTAAAATGTGTTATTGATGAAACTAATTGAAATGTTTGAAAAGATCGGATCACTAGGAAGGCTTGTAATATTTATTATGATTAAGTTTGAAGAAAAAAAATATAATTTTTGAAAGGCAAGACTTTATAATCCAAAGGTAGCATCTTTGCTTGTTTGTATTTCAAACATTCGTAATCACAGACCTTTAGACGATTTTGAGATTTTTAATCATTCACGTTCGATTATTATAGCCATTTTCCTATCATTTCTTAGGTCAACTGAGTCATGTAGTTATGTCACCCATATACCATGAAATCGGGTATTTATTAATCATAATCTGTAGTATTCTAACTGTAATACTAAGACACAGGTATATCTGGAACCAGAGTGATTTCTGAAATGTTTCCCAATTTTTCCATTTTTACAACTTTAACTTATTTACTCCAACCTTTCTCTGCAATGTAAACATTCACAATTATGGTGTAGAAGGACAATCTCAAGAGCCTTACTTGCGAACCTATTATTATAAAAACATCTTACCCTAATTACATGATTAAGAGCTGTAGTGGTTAAAGATTTCTTCAAACTAAATTTAATTACCTGGCAAGATACCAAGCAAATCTACAGTGATATCTGGCCACAAATTGTCCACGAAAATCTTTTAGTTCCAAAGAAGCTTCGCAATATCAGAGACGTACGAACGAATTGTTAAATAAAATAAGGGGGATTTATTACAACAGTTTTACTATATGCATATATGACTGGCTACTCCAAAGAGTGTCGTCTTTGTAACAGAATTACTACATCACCTGGCACTGATTAAAGTAGTAACATAAACCTTAGTGTTGTAACTGTGTACAAAATCCAACGTTTTACCTACTGAGTTCTAATTACCGACTGTAGGTGTATTTAGTGTAGATATTTTATTGGAAATGTACACAAGACTTAGTGTAAACATACCTATTTAGGGACTCAAACTTTAGCACACTATCAAATTCTAACAGATCAGAGAATTGATGAATTAGTACACAAACAAAAATAATCGAAAACAAAAAAAAAGAAACATCAATTAGCAACAAAAAATTAAGCACAATAAACCAGGAAAATAGGATTATCCCTAAATGTGAACATATACGGCAAGTCACTTTTTAAATTGAAACATTTCCTTTTCAATTTACAGAGTATAAGGAAAATGGGTTAATTAAGAGAACAAGGTCAATTACTTACAAATTTATTTTTCGAGCTTACTTTAATTGTTGTTCTTTGAACAATTCATTAGTATGAGAAACGATGAATAAACAATGTGTTGATCATTAAAACAGGAAATATAACCATCGGGAATGTCAATCCACTTGTTACAATTCATTCATAAAACAAATAAAATAAACAATATGATTTCAATATTTTTATTTATTATTTATCATGCTTTTTAATCATGATTTAACACTTGAAGAATATGTATAGCACTAGCCACCAAGCCTGTGTTCAATGCTACACACAAAATAGGTTGGTACTGATGAGAACGATGATGTGTGTCCAAACATTAGGACATTTATACAATGCATTCACATTCAATGAATCAGATCCAAAGCTTTTGGCACCATTTTATGTCCATTCTTGTAACAACCAAACAGTAGCGGTAACAATGATGTTAGAATAACAACCTGACAGGAAACAGCCTTCATGTTTAACTATATCTCTCCAACATTTGGTTTAATATGTTTAGGCTTCATATTAACAAAAATTTCTTTCCTTTACTGTTTTTGCTATACGATGACACAGTATCTGTACAAATTAACGTAGGTTGAAGCACCTTCTATGTACAAAAATTGTCTGTTTGAATGATACGATTCCAGACCATAATCGTTCAACAGCCAGTCATCTTCTTGTTGTGTAAATCGGTATGAAGAACTGCCGTATTAAGTCATACTGAAATAGAAAGTAACATTAAGTTGACCATAAAAACAAATTTAACCATCTTCAATGAACAACAACTACATGATGTCAGTAAATTTGCAAATAGGCCCAGGAAGACAGCATGGAAACCAATGAGACAACGCAAAAGTACAACTTTCTGAAGAGATAACACAAATAAACCCGAGATGAAAATATTTGCAGGTAACAAATATCTAGAATTCAAATTGTGTAAAATTTATACACAGCAGAATTCTTGATAAATCAATTTACCCCTGTTTTTAAAATTTGACGATGATTCCCTGGTTTAGAAATATCTATTTATTTGGGAAACTCTAAAGTTTACATCCTGGTTGGTATTAAGAAAAATTATTAAAACAGATGCTGAATAAAAGCAATCCGTGTCAAATAAATACGGACCTGTCGATTAAGCTTTCCCTCATTTCTGTTGTGATATTGCTAGGCTGTCTGTCTCCAAGTTTAAATACACTTTCCACCACCGAGAGTTCTGTACTTGTTGTGTCCAGTCCACAGAAAGCAATCCAGTCGTTAACCACCAGCCCCGCCCCTATCACATCACTGCCTCGGTTTACTGTGCCAGCCTGTACAGTCGAGAACAATGGATATAATACAATCTACGTTTTCTCAACACACACATATAATCAATATGTATAGGATTTAACTCGGCCAGAGATGCAGATGAATGTTTTGAATGCTTATGTAGGAAAACTGACATGATAAATTTATCACACGGTCTGGTTAACCTTTAGGTATTTATGTACGATACTAAACCAGTTCTCATTTGGTTTACATAATCTAGTTGCAAGTACGTTAAATACGACACAGCTGGACGAGTTCTATTCTCATTTCCCCAACCCAATCTTAACAACAGTACGAATACTTACCACTAAAGGAACTTGTAAAAGTGAGGACAGCTCATCCTGATCTTCTACTGTTGTTTTTGGATGAACCTGAAGAAACAAAAACAAATTATGGAATTACCATATCAATATAGTGCCCAATGACTTCAAAACTAAATTACTTCACAGTTAGGGAGATTCTTAATACAGCCTTTTTGCATATTTAAAGTCTCTTTTTCTTTTACTCCAAATCCATATAACTTGCTCATCATTTTCGTTAAGAGAACATCCTACTACATATTTAATTAATGAAAAGCAGGTGCCTGATGTTTGACAGCAATCAACTACCTTAAATTTACCAATCCTGATAACAAAATGTAACATGGGGCTAGAATTGTAAACATGGACAGAAAATAAGGAAGAGTACCTGTTGGATATTGGATGGTGTTTTGGACAACAAATCTCTTTTTCTATCCAGAAGAGTTGGATAAATGAGGCCAGATTACATTATATGTGAAATAGTTGATAATTATGAATGTACATTGTATTACTTATCCCCTTAACATTAGTTTTGGTTTGTTTTGTTTGTGTTTTACGTCCTATTTACAGCTATGGTCATTTTTAAAAGTACGTGCCAGGTTTTGGATGTGGAGGAAAGCTGGAGCTCCCAGAGAAAAAACTGCCCCACGTAGGCCTCGAACCCACAACCCAGTGGTGGAGGGCTAGTGTTAGCAGAATGTCAGACGCCGTAACCACTTCGCCACCGCGGCCCTTTACATTAGACAGCAATAATGTCTATAACAGTTTTGGACCACTAATAAAACAAATCACTATGTCCTAGACACAAAATATTAGAAAGTATCACTATGTCCTAGACACAAAATATTAGAAAGTATCACTATGTCCTAGACACAAAATATTAGAAAGTTAAATATTTCACAATTTTACATTTTATAAGACAGGTAATCCAAAATGAAATATCCTCAATGACTGACTCACCAGGCCTCCCTGGTTACTGATGGCACAGTAACTACCAACCAGCACATTCTCTGCCACTGTCTGTCGAAACACTTCTGTTTTCAATGTGTCTGTAATGATTTCTTCTGTTTCCTGAGAAAATCATCGATAATATGAATGTAATAATGTCAAAATCACAACATATTTGAGTTAATTTCAAACAAACAGAGGATATAATAGTGCAGCTGTATTAACAACTTTACAGAATTATGATACTACCCAAAACCTTGTAAATACAAACGTGTATACCCTTCCAAATATTAATAATGAACCTTGTGTATCTAAATATTGGGCTTGTTAATAACACAAACATCAAGTATATAGCAAGTACTGTAAAAACACTATCAGGGATAACGAGTTTGACCATGTTTGGTGTAAACATTTTACTGTACACATGGGTGTATTGTTACTATTTACACACCTTCAACATTATTCAACATTAGTGTATCAGTCAAAAGTATGGTCATATTTAGCGTAATTAATGACAAGGAAAAAACATCACAAGAGCAATAAAAACAAAAAAATCCTCCACTCTTAACTCGGACAATATCAAAAGTTGGGTGTATTTTCTAACTTCATATCACAAAAGATGAGAAGAGTAGAAAGCAATTAATTATATATTCACTTACTCTGTCAATATCTGGATGTACAAGTGCAACGTAGTCATTACACGTAATGACATTACCAAGGGCAGATAATCTCTCCTCAACTCGCTGGAGAGCAACACTGTCTGGCAGAGCATTGCGTATGTGTTGTAGTTCCTGATCTGTAGTTGTGCTTGGTACCAATAAACCATGTCTGTTTCCTGTAACAGTGAGATATACAATACTTCAATCTGTTATACAACAGTACCATCAATAACACTCTTTATATATCTGATAACCTTCACAAGGTGTTACTCGTATCATATATTAAAATATAACTGTTGTTAATATTTCCAGTATTTTAGGCAATACCTGCTTTTTTGTTGGGTGTCAATTATAAACTAACTACCATGCCAGAGGTGTGATCTTGGTAGTGAAAAGGGGTCCTTGCATCCCAAAAAATTTAAGCTTTGGATGATTATTCTTTAGCATGTTAACATCTTTTACAAGCCAAACCATGCAAACTTCTGTTTTTAGCAATGGTGACTTTAACCTTGAGCCGGCCGCAATCCTATATAGGGTTCTTTGCATTCTCCTTGGCAACATTTACACATAGATTAAAGTTTGTTTGGTATTTATTAAGTTATCATCCAGTCAACATAAAGCATGCAAAATTTTAGATTTAGCAACCTTAACCACTGGCAAGTCATGCCCCATCTTCGCTAGCCAAGTGTTCGCTTCGTATACACTCCACTTACCTTTGGCGGATATAGCCGTGTTTTCATAATTCCCTCCACTGTCACCTAGCGGTTATACCAAGTTATCGCTCTTCTCCCAAAAAACTTTTAACCAATCAGAATGACCGTTACAAAAGCATATGTATGTCGAGGCGGAGTATAAATGACAGAGCAATATGGAAACAATTAAAGGCAGCACACATATTTTCCCAGGTCATCAATTACATGTGGCACGTAGTCAAGGATTTCTACCAACTGATTTAAAACTCCAGAAGTTTCCCCAAAGATCGTGCGCCTATTTTTTGGAGGAAAAACTCTCTGACATAAACGACAATGTGCTTCCATACAGGACGTCCCCATTACTGTTTTTCATTCGTCAACAGCGCTATATGTAAGACGAGATTTCATTGGATGCAACCGATTGGCACTGCATGAAGGCTCGGTAAACACGTCTATATCCGCCAAGGGTAAGTGGAGTGTATACGAAGTGAACACTTGGCTAACAAAGATGGTCATGCCCAAAATCAATAGGGTTCTTCACATTCCCCAAAGCAATACCTACACCAAGTTTAAAATGAAACTCTGTGTGATGTTCTTGTCAAGTTATCATCTGAACAAAAACAGACAGACAAACTTACACCCATGTAGTTACCTGGTTTCATCAATATACACTGTATGTCAAACTTTTAATCAAAAAGCCAAAAAGGTGGGAATTTGACTCGTCATTTAAGAGGGGAAATGTACAACATAAAAACATGTTTCATGATCTGGATAATCATGTAAAGATCAATTCAACTTACCAACACACATTCTTCCGATTATTCTACATCCTGCTAAACTGGTATGAATAACAGGAATAGTTTCAGACAATTCTCCTTCAAACACACTGTAAAAAAAGAGTGGTAGCAAAATTTAAAAAAAATATTATCAGTTTTGTTTCGATTATGTTTAATATCACTAAGAGCTAATTACAAAACACAGATGCAAATAAATGGATGGGGTTATACTGGAATTTGGACACAAAAACTTCTGTCTGTGGCAGCAAGTTTTAATTTGTAGAATTTTTTACTGATACGAGTCATGAATATCTGCTTCAAAATTTTGGTGAGTGCGCATCATTACTACAAGATACAGCGATTCCTCAAAAGATGTAAGCATGTCAGGAAAAGCATGAGTCTAGACCTCAAATGTAGGAGTACCAAAGATCACTGGGTTTAAATAAAAAATAGTACTTTACAAGGATGGTCTACTCAATATGCAGTGGGTTTTTTTAACCTGAATTTTACAACAGACTGTTCCTTTATGAATTGAGAAAATAAAGCATATTTTTATTGAAATTAGGAATATATTCCTCATTTTTTGTCATTTTTGGAAAATAAGGCACTTTCTAGCAAGGGGAAACAGCCTGCATTTGGCTGTAAAACTGAGCAAACAAAATCACTGAATTATGTAACAGCAATCTACCCATTCAGATCTTCTACAGATAATAAAGGTTTCAGAAAAGGATAATTTAATCTGCTATTAAATTCTAATCCAGCTACTCTAGAATGAATTCTTGACAGATTTCCTGCAAAACTACATGTATAGAACTATAGCCGCCAGAGAAATATTCCTTTCTTTAAATGACTTCTGTAAAAGAAAGTTTTTCTGAAAATAGATTAACATAAAAAAAACAAAAATCAGAAATATTATTATATTAAATATGATTTTTTAACTTCATATGTACTGTCTTCTATGTAATCAAATATCCTGTCTGGAGATGGTTTCCGTCACTTGAAGACAGAACTTTGTTGTCGGTTGAAGATTATTTTAAATATATCCTGCCAAATTTAGTACAATCAGTCATGTTCATCAGGACACCCAGATTTAGTTTGAGAACCTTTTTTAAAGGTTTGAATAGCTTCATACATTTATAATATGAAACACCTATAAAGATAAGTACAAAATCCATCAGGATTATTACCAATATCACGGACTAAGATAGTCTAATTCCGTGCCCATATAATGATATATTCTTTATAATACATGGGCTCCATCAATGGTGATGTTTATATATGCGCCCTTTTGCCCAACCTGTTAATTACTTATTTATATGGTGTCTTTTGAATAGCTCTTACGTTTATATCAATAAACTGTATCAATACAAATACATGGTATCCTCCTGACTTTCGTTTTGACCGGACACGTGTGAAGCCTAACAGCATCACACACATTTATTACCTGTAAAAGTTTTCGGAGCCTCCTATTGCAACAAGACAGTAGGCATTTGTGAGTTTAGAAAAAACTCCAACTTCGTTATTTCCTTCGAACTGTGCGCGGACAGCCATAATTGAATAATGAAACTAACACTTAAAGGAAAGATCTCTTAAACTACGAGTGATTGTGAAATCGAAGCAAGATTTCACAGAGCCGATGTCATGCTTTCTACACTGTGGTGCAAGAGGATGTCTACGTCATCAATTTATGCGTAGTTAGGTCCTGTGGTAGATACAATTTTCAGAATAGAATTATTAAACGGGACATGTGTGGCGTCTCAAGTTCTGTGTACCGCCCTTTACATCCGCAATGCATTAGCCGTTATGTGATTTGTTTTTACCTAATAAGCCGGCACACAAGTGAGAACACTGAAAAAAAATTAATGCTTGCATAACACAATGGTGTTTTACAAGTGCACATTTCTACAAGACATATTTTATATATATGTCCCGATATTCCCCATTTTGAACCTTTCTTACACGATCAGTCATTGAATTGAAAATTGATTTTTAAACTTTCAAAACATAGAGTGATTAAGGGTTCGAAGAAAACGTAAATCAAAGATAGCGATATAGTTTAGCACGGACTAAGATCTAATCTAATTCCGTGATTTTAGTAACTAAAATCGATCTGCCGTTTTCTATTTGGGATAATTTTGGACCTCTGTTGCAATACTATAAACAAGGAAACCAACTAATGCTCATGTTTTGTTTATTTGTATTATTATTATCTGTAAATTCCATTTTTTACAGAACATTATTTTTTTGTTACAGTATATTATGATTCGCAAATCAATCTGTTTAAAAGTGATCTTTGCTTTTCATTGAAATAAAAATAAAAAATAAAGACAGTAAGAAGAGGATTTTTTTTACATGTATAGTCAGGCGTGTGGCTGAACTATAACGATGTGCTTGCAAGGACCACCCATGCAAGCCCCTACTCCCCGTCCCCGAAAAAATAAAATTTAAATGCTATCTAATGGCCATTGGGAGCAATATCTGAGTCCTGATTTTATTCAATATTCAGTTTTTTATCACATTTAAAAAAGGAAAATTAAGCTCCATTAATTCTGCATTTTTAATCACCCAGCATTCTATATTCTGAATACGCAATACCATTAATGGGCAGTTACGAAAACCTGTGGTTTATTTAAATGGCCAAAAAAGTCACATTTTTTTTTATCAAACCGGTCGTACAAAGCATTTTAAATGTGAGGATTTTTTATGTACATGTATTTACATGTATCGATCTGAGTGTTCAATACAGTTCTGTCCTGTTGTGTTGGTGCGTCCGTCTAAATCTTGTGTACATGGTAGATTCATATCACGAACCCCTGAACACATTTTAGTTTGATAATACAGTTAATTATAATAACACCATTGTATGGTTACATTTAGTTCTACATGCACCCAGTCAGTTTTTGGTTGTCGTCGGTCAAGGTTAAAGGGTCAAAGGTCACCGGAAAAGATAAAACTTTACCACTTTTGAAGTAAATGCATGCTTGTGTACAAGATTTCTTACCAACCCCTCAACAAATTTCGTTTATATTTACACCACATTTTGATAACATTGAATTCTACACATAATTAGATTTTGGAGGTCATAGGTCAAGGTTAAAATTAAGGCGGTCATTTTCAGCTTGATCGGAAAAAAGAAGCAGCCGGGTAGCCCCCAGACAGACATCATTTGACCATTCAGGTTTAACGATATTTCTCAGAAAGTCACTCTCTCTTTTTCACACATAAGGCCTACTGTTATAGTTAGTAGCCTAGGTAAACTATCAATTTCACACACTAGGCCTACTGTTCTAGTTAGTAGACTAGGTAAACTATCAATTTCACACACTAGGCCTACTGTTCTAGTTAGTAGCCTAGGTAAACTGACAATTTCACACATTAGGCCTACTGTTCTAGTTAGTAGCCTAGGTAAACGAACACACATTAGGCCTACTGTTCTAGTTAGTAGCCTAGGTAAACGAACAATGTCACACATTAGGCAGCCTACTGTTCTAGTTAGTAGCCTAGGTAAACTAACAATTTCACACACAAGGCCTACTGTTCTAGTTAGTAGTCTAGGAAAACTAACAATTTCACACACAAGGCCTACTGTTTTAGTTAGTAGCCTAGGTAAACTAACCATTTCGTTTTAAAAGAATACTGCAATTGTTAATCACCGGAATATGAAGTTTTTGCTGAACATTTCCACGTGGTGCATTAACTGTTAGAAAGACTATAAAGAACAGTAAGAAGATCAAACAAACATCACGAAATTAGATTCTAAGAACTTGTACAATGGTGGGCGCCAAGATTCCTCTAAGATCTGTTTTTGATTAATAGAGTCTATCGTTCCTGTGTAATGTGGGCAGAAGAATCTCAAACGGAGGGTAAACATTTTGAAATATAGCACGAGGCTTTTCGGAACGTTTAAAATTCCTCATCTCAAAACCATATAGAGATTTATTTTATAAGGGAGATAACTCGTCTGTTCTTTATCGACTATTTTTAAGATCGACGACGGACCACGGACGCAATCTAATCTAATTCCGTGATTATACATAATAATTAGACTTTCATATCAATAAACACCAATAAAACACAATTTAGACAATAAAAAAAAGGATAAAAATAAGGTAGATCTAATTCTTATTAATAAAGACTTGAAGTATCTTTAAGTTAGTTAGATCTACTTAACGTTCGTTTAAATATTTACAACAAAAAATAATCTTAACATATCCCATTACTTTAATAATAGAATATTTACCCGTATATATCTAGCTTTTATGCCTGATTTTGTCTTCATGAAATCGTTTACATGTAAGACGTCACGATACGATTATTCTACGCCTACCTTCGTGTATTGTATACAGGCTCAATCAACCAGAACATTGTTAGTACAGAGTTATGCCCCTTGTTAATACCTCTACAGTGCGAAGCATTTTTTGACACTCAGTTGGTAAGACAAGCTAGAGCCATGTCCTATCCGAAACCATGGCGCAGACGAGTCCCAAAGGATCTAGCAGCTCTAAACAGGAACTTCTGTCACTAAAGGATATACTGACAGTTTTTAACAATCCTATAAATGAGGATCAGGCATGGGCTGTGTGTCACCAATGTGCCCAATTCTTCCAAACAACATCGGATCGTTCAAAATACCGGGAATTTTACAAGCATGGAGCTCGGGCCATTCGTATACGACCCGGTGGTGAAATTCTAATAGAAGTCGCGGAATGTGATATAAGTCTCGGATCGGGGAAAGGTCCGCCTTGTAAGTATGCCTTATATTTCTGGTGTATAATTTATTATAATTTCCAATACAAATGTCGACTAGAGTACCTGCCCCCCTTGTGTTTTGTGTGAGACAGGGGTCACCTGGCGTAGTTTATATATCTGGGACATAACGGTAATTACCTGTCTCATGGTATGTCCTATTGTCACGCGTATTACCTACGTTAGGTGACATTACCTAATATCCAACCTTTGAATGAATGTTTTTGTAGCAACGGGATTCCGGTTTTGTTGACCACAGTTTTACTGTTGATGATTTAGTCAATCCTATACTGGAGGCATAGCTTCGCTCATAATTTCACAAGCTATTTATAAAGTGCATAGCCTACTAGGCCATTTATATTGTATTATAAGTAAACTAGTTTTGGTGTTAAAATTATTTTTATATTGCAATATGTATATGTTTAACATTATTATTTTGATTGCTGTTTTATGACATTTTGTTGTATTTAAGATATAAATATTTATAAATTTTGTACTTGTTTTAGTGTCATAGATCAGTCTGTTGATCAATGATGAAATAATTAAATAACATATTATGAACTTGTGATATAATAATCCTGTAACAACTGTAAAATATTTACCATAACCTCAGTACTCGTGCAGTAGTAAAAGGCCATACCAGGATGCCAAACCCGACTAATGAACTGTAGAAAGATGAAGATACTGTAACTAGTACAGTTGAGCTATCTGTAGTATCTGATCACTGGCAGTCACCTGGCCCTGACCTATACTACTACACACTTCCCTCGGTTTTCACCCCAAGTCTTCACACCAAGACAACACTTTTGACAACCCAAGTCCGGGTATATTCTGCCATTTTAAGTGCATGACAGCCCACTACTACACATAAAGTGGCACAGACAAGGATTCAAACCCAGAACCTCCAAACTATAGATGGAAGTTTTTACCTATTGAGCTACCTGCGATCAAAGGATGGTTGGGTGGCACGATAGCATGCTCGCCTTTCACCAAGACGACCATAGTTTAATTCCCCGATTGGATATGAAAAGGTATAGGGGTCACATGCAGGAACATATGGGGTTTCTCAGGTATTCCGTTTACTTGCCACATTAAGACCCCCTGCACACTTTATAAATGTATACTACCTGGTCTCCCTAAATCACCTGGCCTAGTCACGATACACAGTATTCTGCTGTGCTACCAAGCATCCCACCTCAAAGTATTTTTCATAATTTACCTACTGTCAGCTTTAATTTTTTCACAATCTTACATGAGGTCTTCTTAAAAATGATTTGATAATCATCGTCTAACATTGAAATTGCACATTTTGTGTAATGTCCTGGCTAGAAGGTAACGGCCAGCGTTGTTTATTTACATGATTGTTTACGTGACTCTCACTGAACTAATTGTTTTGCAGCTGTCTATAGTAATTAGCTTCCGTAATTAAACGATTTAAGGAAGATCTATTCATTTCAAAGGTAATTTTGACAGTTTGAAATATTTATGCCTAAAATTCAATTACTAGTGTGCGTCTTGACATTAAAATTCTATTCCTGTTCATTATATTGACAGTTTATAATTAATTAATCTGTATTTAATCTGTTTTGCATAGAGTACAGATATATATATACATATGTTATATAGACTACAAATCTGCTGACAGATTTTGAAAAATTCTACTAGACTAACCCAATCTTAATTTCATACTAAATATTGAAAATATTCACTTAAATATCACTCAGATATATAATTTACTAGCCATGGGAATTGCATATCCCCTGTACACGACTCTGGGTTCTGATGTTGTGATACTGATCCTCTGGCCTCTCCTAGATCACAGTTTGTAATGTTGTCATATATCAAAGGCTAGCTGTTACCCCCACCCTATCACATACTACTAGAACTGGGAAAATGGTAAAATTCACTCTATTGATTATGCAGAAGTTTATTTGGAGTTGGTACAAATTCACATGCTCATGATCATACCTACTGTATTTCACACTATAGATTAATGTGTATAGATACTGGGCTTTATAGAAGACACTAAAACTATGAGGAGTTGGTTTAATATAAGAAATGGGTACTGGTATACAATGCATGACCTGATGGTGACACATAAGAAGCTAAGGTCCTTCACAAGGTTTCTGGGCTTCAAGTGCCACTTGTCAATATGTACATAGTTAGGACATTTACGGCACATCAGTATAACTGGGGGTACAGTAAGCTTTTGTTGACAGTCACGCAGGTGGATTTTGTGAAATGCCAGTCACTGGGAATCAATAGTAATTGGAATGCTATCGGAACAGGCACATTGCCATTGCTGATGATCAAATCTGAAAAAAATAATCGATAAGTAATTTGTTTTCATAAGAAGCGATACAACTGAACACATAGTATATCTATAAGCCAAGTTTGCAATTTTATGTGAAGATGAAATGAGTCCAACAGAATGTCAAAATTAACATATATATATATATACCTGTATCTGCAAATTCAAGTTTTTCAACAACAATAATTCTAAATAACAATACCAAATATAGTATTTTAATTCACTGTGTGCATGCATGGCTATGTTCAGTATATATTTCAAAAAAATCTTTGGAACATTTGCACATGGTATTTATTAAGTCAAACAATTTATATTGTGCTGTATTGTGGTACATTGTATATACTGTATTGTGAATAACTGATACATTGTATTTACTGTATTGTGGTACATTGTATTTACTGTGTATTGTGGTACATTGTATTTACTGTATTGTGGTACTTTGTATTTAGCGGTATCGTGGTACATACCTAGTATATATATATACTGTATTGTGGCACATTGTATGCTAGTTTACTGTATTGTGGTACATTGTATTTACTGTATTGTGGTACTTTGTATTTAGCGGTATCGTGGTACATACCTAGTATATATATATACTGTATTGTGGTACATTGTATGCTAGTTTACTGTATTGTGGTACATTGTATTTACTGTATTGTGGTACATTGTATTTACTGTATTGTGGTACTTTGTATATACTGTATTGTGGTACATTGTATTTACTGTATTGTGATACATACCTAGTATATATATATACTGTATTTTGGTACATTGTATATATACTGTATTGCGGTACATTGTATTATATAGAATCATATACTGTTTTTTCATACATTGTATACTGTATTGTGGTACAATGTATACTAGCTACTTTACTGTATTGTGGTAACGTGTATACTATATTGTGATACAGGGATATTATAAAACTTTTTAAGAGTATTATTATTTGAATTAAAAAGTTTTGCCTACATACCTACCCTAAAGGGAAATGCCTCAACTTTGTTTAGGCCTTAACCTATTTCCTGCTCATGCTTGTTGTAAACTGAATTCATTTAACATGTCACAGTTTGATTTATTGGTTTTGAAAATAAAAAAAATAATTAATTTTTAACCATTTATAATCTCTTGCTTTTGAGTTCATGAATTTTTCCAGAGTGAAATATCCTAACAGGAAATTAATAAGTTCTTATATAAACTGCATTCAGGAAAACTTTAAGGTCTGAACATTTTTGTCAGTACTTAAAATACGCTGGCTGTTTAAATATAGAGGTGTACTAATCCTATTTGAGGTATTAAAAGAAGTTGGAGGATTATTATAAGGAACGCTGAACTAAAAATGAAATGTTGGAATACAGTTCATTGTCGTACGTTGTATTAAACTTTATTGTATATATATACAGTGTACCTGTACCAACCTACTGTGGGAATCTTTATTCTAGCTATAAAATGTATACAAGTGTAAGTTTGTTTACGGTGTCATTACATGTATTCCAGTATACGTAACAATCAATACTGTTTTGTTACCATCGTCATACATGTTTGAACTGTAATGTTGATATGATGAAAAATCATTTGTAACGTGATTGTGCTAATTCAAAATCCATTTGTGAGACCTTTATGTACAAGGTGTATCATTAATTATAAAGTGTAATGTTGCGTTAGGGTTCATCTCATCAATGTCCCTACAGGAAGGGCGTAAGAATTGTACCTGCTGCCCCCCATTCAATGATTGTAAGAGGTGACTCAATTTGGGATCTTATCTTTTCTCTTCTTTTTAAACAACTTTCTTCTTCCTAATGGCTCCCTTGACAATGCCAAACTTTTGGCCTTTAGTTGAGCGTTCGCCCTTGTGAGGAAGGCTTTGGGTTCTGTTCCCTGGTCGAGACATACCAGAGTCTGTAAAAATGGTAGTTTCTACTCCTGCTTAACGCTCAGTAATTTAGGAGTGGGACGACTGGTTCGCCCGTTGTCAGTATATAATGTGACCTTGTGTGGGTGTACTGCTGGGTGTCTTCGGCAGTATGATTCAGTGAGGTAGCACTATAAGGTCAGCATCAGTTCCGCGCTATCACAAGGAGACACAATTAACCCTTTCACCACTGTAGACAATAATGGACCCCTCCATTTCAATGCATGGTAGAGTCTACTAAAGTTACATAGGGGTGAAAGGGTTAAACACGAACATGAACATATCATGATCACATAGCCTCCCAAAACACACGCATACACTACAGGCATGCATCTTGTACACAGGGGAGGCCATACTTAAATGACCATAGCTGTTGATAGGATGTTAAACAGTACTAAACCAAACCAAACCAAATCATTTGATCAAGGTCACATTTAGATGTTTAAGTTCAAATTATGCAGACCAAAGACCTATGATAACAAGTTTCTGTGTTTCACAGAACCCACTGGTCTGGAGGTTTGGATATACCAGTGGGTTCGGTTTTATCACAACAGAGCACAAATAAACTATGTAAAGGAAAGATATTAAACATTTAATTGAATATAAATGTATTTTTTAAGGTTTCAATTATGGAGATCAATTATTAGAGCATTCCGGGTATCGGATTTGAGTATGAATTTTAATGCAAATAATATAAGTCAATATATTTTTTCAGCATTTCCAGTTAAAAATGTTCGCGTGCAAGGTACACTACACTGCAGGTGTACCAAAGATATTA